AAAGGTGCGTTGGATGAGGCGGGAACCGGCGCAACAACTACGTCATACCGCCTGTTTATAACAGACAGAAACTCACGTCTGTCATTTCTAATTGATACTGGCGCAAACGTCTCCGTCATCCCTAAACGAAAAGGCGTGAAGATAACCCCAACTGACTTCTGTTTATACGCCGCAAACAACACGGTTATACCTACCTACGGTGAGAAGACGCTACAATTGGACCTAAACCTACGCCGACCTTATAGTTGGAAATTCATCGTCGCTGAAGTCAGCAAGCCAATCATCGGCGCCGACTTCCTACGCCACCACCAACTACTCGTCGACATAGCCGGTCGATGTCTTGTCGACAAAGTAACCAACCTCACCGTCAAAGCGCCTCTCATATTCCGCCGAGCCAACTGTAAGAAGCATAGACGTCGAACAGCCGTATCATCAAATATTGAGTCAATTCCCCGATATCCTAAGACCATCATGCATGAAGACCACTCCCAAACACCGCGTGGAACATCACATTGAAACCACCGGTCCACCTGTACATAGCAAAACCCGGCCATTACCCCCACATCGATACTTGGCCGTGAAGAAAGAGTTTGAAGTCATGATGCAGCAGGGATTATGCCGTCCAAGCAAAAGTCCCTGGTCCAGCCCACTACACGTCGTCCCGAAAAAGAATGGCGACATACGGGTATGCGGCGATTACCGAAGACTCAACGACGTAACTAAACCCGACCGCTACCCTGTACCTCGCCTCAAAGACTTCACATACCTACTCCACGGCAAGAAGATTTTCACCACACTCGACCTGAATCGTGCATACCAACAATTACCCGTTTACGAACCCGACATCGAGAAAACAGCCATAACAACCCCGTTTGGCTTGTTCGAGTTTCCCCGAATGTGTCCAGGCTTAAAAAACGCGGGACAGACATTCCAACGGTTCATACATCAAGTACTCAACGGGTTAGACTTCGCATTTCCATTCATTGATGACGTAATCATCGCGTCAGAAAACAACGCACGCCACATCGAAGATCTACAAGAAGTACTACGAAGACTAAATGACTACGGTATCACTATAAACCCGTCAAAATGCGTCTTCGGTCAAGAAAACGTCAAGTTCCTAGGATATCAAGTGTCGAGCGAAGGAATCGAACCTCCACTTGATAAGGTCAACGCTATCACTGCTTACCCCAAACCCGAAACAATAGCGGACCTACGTCGATTTCTCGGCATGGTGAACTTTTACCGTGACAGCATACGTAACGCGGCCCACATACAAGCGCCGCTAAACGCATTTCTACATAACTCCAAGAAACGCGATAAAACAAAAATCGAGTGGAACAATGAAGCACTTCAAGCATTCGAGTTGTGTAAAGCTAGCATACAAAACGCAGCTTTACTCGCTCACCCATCCTCGTCACCAACTCAACCAATATCACTCATGTGTGACGCATCGAACACCTGTGCTGGCGCTGTCCTACAACAACTTGTAAACAACAAGTGGGTTCCCCTCGGCTATTTCTCGAAGAAATTCTCAGAAACACAACAACGTTATAGTACGTTCGACCGAGAATTATTATCAATATATATGGCGATCAAACACTTTAGAAAAATGTTCGAAGGAAGAGAACTCATTGTTTACACCGATCACAAGCCGCTTACCTACGCAATACGCAAGCCGCCGTCGGACAACGACACACAACGACGCACTCGTCAGCTGTTGTTTATAAGCGAGTTCACGACCGACCTACGTCACGTGACCGGAGCGAACAACGTAGTCGCCGACGCACTGTCACGCGTTGAAACGATCGACTTACCATCGCCGATAGACTACGAACAACTATCTCAAGCACAAGAAAAGGACAGCAATATTCTCAACCTATCTAAACAAACAAATATTCAACTCAAGAAAATCGCCATACCTACTTCAAACAAGCTGATTTACTGCGAAGTATCGACGCCTCACATTCGTCCATACCTACCAGTTGACTTTCGCATTCAACGCCGTGCACAATACAAGTCATCCTGGTATTCGAACTACACGCAAACTAATGCAGCAACGATACTTCTGGCCGTCTATGAACACCGACATTGGCGAGTGGGCAAAGTCATGCATTCAGTGTCAACAATCAAAGGTACATCGACATACGCACAGTGACGTCACATCATTCCCACCGAGCGAGCGTTTCGACATAGTATAAAGAACACAGTAGGTTATCTAAGGCCGCCCGCCGAGTTATTAGCCTACTCTTGCGTTGATCCACAGGGTTGTCACTTTTACTTTTAGTTAATATTTTCGAACAAGCAGCACTTGATCTAAATTTATGAAATGAAAAGCATATTATGATTGAATATTTTATCAATTTATAAATTTAGTAAAAATTAAAAGCTTATAAAAAGATTATTAACTTCTTAAAATAAACTTTAGCTCTATACATAGTATTCAGAAAGTAAATTTGGGAATACATTTATATGGAAAAATGCGACTCGGCTACGCTCTTAACCAATCAGATAAACTGTGAAATAAACAATACAATACCACATTTTCTTATAATATTTAAGTAATTTTACATTTCTGGTTGAGTAGGAACTATGAAGAATGATAAGAGTAAGAATAAGTAAGTAGGTATCTCATCATCAAGTACCTACAAATTATATTATGCTAGAAAAAGTGACTAGCTTACCTTTCCTGTTCAATAGGTACCTAATCTGAACAGAGACAGTTCTGGAATCGATTAATTATTAAGACACCCAAACACACAGCAATACGTTCTTCTACGATTATCAGACATTTTTTATTTCATTGAACAGTGCCGAAAAGCCGTGAAGCGCGCGCGAACCTCGTACAGTGTCAGCCCTGCCTGGCGCACTGAGAAACGGGTCGAGATTTTGTTAAAGTGTGCGTGCGTCGACGCATAGATACTATGGCGCACACATATAAGCCGCGCGCGGAGCATTTGTATGAAGATAACCTACTTTGTTCTTTATACTATGGTTTCGAACACGTACACATTGACATCGTCGGACCTCTGCCTACATCTTCGAGCGGACATCGATACCTACTCACTATGATCGACCGCTGCACCCGCTGGGCAGAAGCCGTCCCTCTGCGAGAGATATCAGCCGAAGTCGTCGCAAGAAAGCTGTATGAAGCATGGATATCACGCTTTGGTTGTCCTATCAAAATCACGACTGATCAAGGACGACAGTTCGAGAGCAGCTTATTCAAAAATCTCGCTCAGCTACTGGGAGTAGAAAGAACTCGTACTACTGCCTACCACCCGCAGAGTAACGGGATCGTAGAACGCTGGCATCGTACATTGAAAGCCGCGCTCATGACTCGACTCGCCGACAACAACAAATGGTTGATCGAGTTACCTACCGTGCTACTGGGACTACGAGCCGCTACGCGCACCGACACTAACACTAGTGCCGCTCAACTTACCTACGGACAAGAACTACGGCTACCCGGCGATTTCATATCGCCATCGCCTACCTACACGAAGATGGATAACGACTATGTGGCTGACTTGCATCGTGTTATCACAAGCTTAACGCCCGCTTATCAGTCGCACACTAACCGACTGAGTATCTTCGTGCACAAAGACCTGCAAACATGCAGCCACGTATTTGTACGTGACGACGCAGTTCGCAAACCGCTGCAACGTCCGTACAAGGGTCCGTACCTAGTCTCCAGCAGAAGCGACAAGTACTTCACATTACAAACACCTAGAGGTACTACCAACGTGTCTATCGAGCGTCTGAAGCCTGCCTACGTCATTAATTACGATAACTCGGACAACTGTGCAACGCTACCAGAGGCTATCCAGGATCAACCCAGTCAACCTCCGTCGAGCATCAGCGATGTACGAAAAACGCGAACAGGAAGGATCGTCAAGACCCCAGTACGCTTCGCTCGGGGGGGAGTACTGTAGCCGCACCGCACGACTACATACCTACCAGTTACCAGTACCACCGAATACCTTTCCATTACCAGATACCTTCCACAATACCTTTACCAAAGTTATAGACTCACTTCGTTTAAAGAAACAAGAAACCAATTGTCTTGAAAAAGACAGTTTACGTTTTGACTCCGTTTTAAGAAACCAGAAACCAATTGTCTTGAAAAAGACAGTTTTTGACTTTCCTGCATAGAAACGATAATCATCACTGCGGCAACAGCGTTATCACACCGTGCCGCGAGCGATCGCTTCGAAAGAAGCGGTTTGGTAAAGCAAGCAGCCAAGCTGCGCAAGCGGAGCCGGAGCCGGAGGCCGGAGTTCTTGCATTCATCTTCATTCATCTGTAGGTAGTCTTCAGTCTTCACTCAACGCCGGCTCTCGGAGAAATGCGCGCGCTCGCGCCGCGCGGTCATACTTATACGGAAGGAACCGATAGTGCCGTGTGCAAAGCGGCGCCCCGCACCCCGCGCGCCCCGCGCACGCCGGCGCGCCGCTATTGGTCGAAACTATTACCTAACTATATCTGATCTTGTCTAGTTGTAAATATGTAAATAGAAATATAAGTAGCGTAGTTTGGCGAAATAAAATCATTCTTGTCAACACCTCTCATCGGAGTTTTACTACTACTAGAAGATAAGAAGAAACCTCCTCTAGGACACTAGGCTCTCCTACTTAGCTCCTAAAAGGTCATTAATTAGTGTAAATATTAGAGATGCGCCGAATAGTAGTTCTACCGAATAACCGAATACCGAATACTATTCGGTTCAATCTTTACCGAACCGAATATTCGGCCGAATTATTCGGTTTACCATTTCACTGCACTCCCGCATAAACAGGTTCAAACATGCACGCAACTTGTCGCCGCTGGCAGTTGCGAGCGAGTCGTACCTCGCCGCCCGCCACCCGCGCACACATTGCGCGTCACTTTGCTCTAAAACATTGCACGAGTAAGTTGTTAATAAATTAAAATATAAACTTTTTCGTGTTTGCAATATGAGTGGGCGTAAAAGATCACGTGCTTGGGACTTTTTTGACGAAATGGAAGATGACAAAACCAAAGTTAAGTGCACTTTGTGTAGTTCTGTTATTTCTCGCGGTGGAACAGGGCGCACTGCTTCAACGAGTGGAATGACAAATCATTTGAAGTTGAAGCATAAAGATCAATTGCCAGAAACATCGTCTACTTCTGTGAGCGCTCCTGAACATAGCTTTGACCATCTTCTCCATGTGATCGTGAGAGATAACGGTCCTAATATGGTAAAAGCCATAAAGGAAAGTGCATTTGAAGGCAAGGGATGTTTTATACATACATTGCAGTTGGCCATTAAAGCGGCATTAGAGGTTGAAAACGTAAGTGACGCTTTGATCTCCGCTCGAAGAATAGTAACACACTTCAACCACTCCAGCACGGCGCAACAAAAACTAAAAGATATCCAGAAAGAACTTCATCTAACTGAGCATCAGCTTGTCCAGGACGTCACAACTAGGTGGAACAGCACCTATTATATGTTGGAAAGAGTCGTTGAACAAAAACGTGCGATTTCGCTTTATATTTCTGACAATTCTGGCTCAGTTAACATTCGAAATTGTACTGAAAGACAGTGGCAGATTCTCAAAGAATGTTTAATTCTATTAAAACCTTTTGAAGAAATCACCAAAATTACAAGTTCTACATTTTCTACAATTTCAGAAGTGATTCCCCACAGTAACACTCTGATCAAATATTTAACAAAACCCGAAATTTCAGAAATATGTTCAAATATACCAGAAATGGTACAAAAACTACGAGAAGAAGTTCAGTGTCGTTTTAAAAATTTGGAAGAAGACAAATACTACTGCCTTTCAACATTATTGGATCCCCGATTTAGAACGAGATTTTTTGCCCAAGAAAATTATGAACTGGTGAGAAGAAAGCTTTTTCTAGAAGCGATACAAAGAAGCGACCTTGATGCGGAAAGCTCAAGCGAAGATGAAGCTACAAACAGAGGAAGACCTCCACAAAATGTTTCAAATTTTTTAGAGGAATCTCATGTGACATTTTGGAATTGTTATGAAGAACTTGCCTCGACGAATCCTGTCATTTCGGAAGATCCTAAAAGCCCAATTGCCGTGGAATTGAACAATTATGAATCTGAAAGTTTACTACCAAGAAACCAGAGCCCTTTTGATTGGTGGGCAAAGCATAAGTCAAAATATGCACATTTAGCCAATTTAGCTAGAGTGTTTCTAAGTGCTCCTGGTAGTAGTGTTTACAGTGAACGATTATTTTCGGAAGCAGGGAACCTGTATGAAGAAAAACGAAATAGACTCTTACCAGAGAGGGCAGAGAGCTTGGTGTTTCTGCACCATAATTTACCTTTAATAAATTATAAATATTAGATATACCTATGAATATGTTCCTTTTTGCCTGTGTTCTATTTTACTTGTGATTTCTATTATTTTTAAGGTATTACTGTTACAGTCCCTATTATTGATTAATATTAATATTTTAATTTATAATTACTTGCCAAGTAAGTGTGTTTATTTAAATTTTAAAATGTTGATCTCAGTTTGAAAAATAAAAGTTTACATAGAGTTATAAAAATTTAAGTTTATATACAAAAAGATATAAGAATTAGTTATGTTTAATAATAAATAGTGAAATCAATATTGAGCTACGGCTTAAAAATATATGTTGAGTTAAGTTTTAAAATGATTGTTAACTATTACTAATTACTATAGGTCAAGAAATAAATATGTTGACTTAATATGTTAAAATACATTTTAATAGCAAGTTTAATAATTGTTTTCATTTAGGTATTAGATTTTTATTATGCTCCTTTGCAAATTTTATGAACAAAATAAATCTTATATAAGAAGCTTGTCTTTCAGTTCTATTCCATGCCATGTATGATGTAGCCAATAAAATAGAAATACTCAAACCGAATATATTCGGCACTAAAACCGAATAATTCGGCCGAAAACGAATAGTGGCAAAAATGCCGAATATGCCGAATACCGAATACCAAACGAATATTCGGCGCATCTCTAGTAAATATGTAATGTGATGTGCATCGTTAGCAGACTTCATTAATGTAATAGACATAATTATTTTATAACCTACGTTTATAGAAACTGACTTCACCCCCTCCCCCTTTTTTGAGATCGGTAATAAGTCTACTAAAACCTTCTAAGCGTAACACTTTTCTGAAAACCAAATCAAAATCAGTTTAGCCAATCGCGAAATAATCGCGCACAACTATACCTACAAACATACAGTGCAAAATAAGAACCTCTTTCGTTTTTTTAAGTCGGTTAAAAAGAGATTAGTAATTTACCTATACTTACTACGTAATTATTTATTTATCTACTGACTATTGAAACCGAGTAAGTAGTTAATTTTATTTTTAACTCAACGTAGTACATTTGTGCGTAATTGATTTACGTATCTTAGGTACAACAGGAACAGAAAATTGACAAATAAACAACAACAATAACAAAGGGCCTAACCCTATAATCCTATCACTACCATCCATGTTTGGTATACTTAATTTCAAATAGGCCAAGATTTTTTTAAGGGGGTAAATCATCGAATGACTGTCTAAAAACCACTCCGTTCCTTCTCTTGAGCTTCGAGCCGGAACCCAGGTAACCCGTTAGGTTCTCCGCGACAATTGTACAAGAATAGTATCGAAATTCTTTAGTAAAATCAGTACCTACAATAAATATTATCGTATCCACCTACAGTCAAAACCAAACATAAAATGTACTTAGGTATCTCAATTAATGTTTAGAAGTAATGTCACAGTGATTAAGCAGATTTACCTATTATTGTGGATGGACTTATTTCTTAATAACCAACCCATTAGGTACCCACGCAATAGATGAATTTCAAGTTTTAATCAGTGTTGTTTTGTTGCGTTGTTGTTAAATCCGGTAATTTTTTTTTTTTTGTTTTTTTGATGAAAAAACGTTGCCCCACACTAGGATTTCTCCTGTGTCGTGGGTGCGTTTACAAACATTCAAATTCACATACACATGACACCCAGACCCGGAACAACAATTTGTGGATCACACAAAGTGTTGTTCCGTGCGGGAATCGAACCCGCGACACGTTGCACGGCAGCCGGTTGCCCGGCCACCGCACCAACCGTGCAGTCAATTAGGCAATTATTCCTTAATATACCTACCTAATAATTATTTATTTATATTTAAACATTACATTTATCATCACAGGCACACCTAATATCATAAAATGCAGTTACACATTATAAGTATACAAATTCAAACAAATGTATCGTTTGTCACAGGTGCAAGTTCAGCTCTTAAAATTATAATTTAGACTAGTACGTATCACTGTAACATACCCTTAGGGTGTACAATCTTTATTTACAAACATATGTCAATAAGCACACTAAGCACAGAATAACCAGAGCAACAATAGAATAGTTAAGTACCATTAAAGAAAATAAATAATTGAATATACACAGCACTTAGGTACCTAGAACTTAAAAACATTCATCAACATCAACTATTACACATAATCCTATAACATCTAAACTTAAAATAACTTGAAGTATTTAGAAAAGATTATCAATTTATTAATGTAGATTACGTAATCATAGTTAAAGTTGGTCTTAAGGACACAAAATAAGGTTCCTAACACATTAAACGTCATGGTGGTCACCGGTGACCCACGTTACCGGAGGATTTGCCTTCAACAGTTTTTTTATTGGCAGTCAAAGCCAACTTAGATGGCGTGCAGTTAATCAGCAGGAAGAAAAATTCTACGTAAGAAAAAATTTGCCTCAATTACTTTTGTTCTACACAAGCGTAGAAGTGGTAGACTAGTATCAGGTAGATTGCAGAATTTAGCTCGATGCAGACATAATAATATGTACATACCTTAGGCAGGTACTCATTTCCATATTCTGATTTTCCCAAATAATTTGATATGTCTAGGTAGGCACCTGAATATAGACAAATATAAGATTGAAGTTAATATAATATGTTCCGCAGTTCCATAACTGAATAAACTTAAAATAGGATAAGATAGAACATCTTCTAAGTAAACTGGTCGTATCTAGGTGCCTATACCAACCGAAATACATTGCGGTATGAGGTATATTTTCTGTGGTTTCAATTTTGACGATGTAGGTGCAAGTTTTAGTACTTTATCTAGTTTATTTGTTAGGGATTGTAAACGTTATCGTAACGTGATTCGCTGATAAAAATAGACCACCCCAACACGGAGATGTTGATTTAGGTAGGTACAAATTACAAAGTCAAAAGGAATTCCGGTATGATATGACCGCCTTATGACAATCTGACTATGCATGTCTGTCTGTTGTATGTATTTACAGATTGTAGGTGAGCATCAGCTAGTGGCTCCATCTATATGGCGACACAGAAAGTTTAAAAAAAATCAACAGCTACGTTTGTGGCAGCTCAGTATTTATTGATTTCAGGTTTTGACTACTTATTGCCACATCTAGAATATAAATTATAGGGTAGAAACAGGTAAATCTCAGAATCCTTCGAAGGAACAAGTATATTTTAGTCCAAGACCTATTTTTTTTAAGGGTGGAAAATCGTCGAATGACTGCTCCCGCCTGGGTGAGGCGGAAGGGAGTGTCAGACTCTTACTGACTAAAAACGACCCCGTTCCTTCTTCTGCACGTCGAGCCGGAGCCCCGGTTACCCGTTAGGTTCTCCGCGACTCCGAATCGGCATCGGCCCTATTGGGCCCCATCTGTGGTGGTCTGATGGCTCTTTGAGGCGCGCGCGCTACGCGCCGTACGCTCGGGATCCAAGACCTATAAGTATAAAACTGCAATTATGCTTCAAGTTCGTTTTAAAAAAGTCGCGAGTCCAAAATAACATGTGGCCTGTTGATAAACACCAGCAAACTCCTCATCCTGCATTTCGTAATTATGTTAGTCTCATGGAAAGGCAAGCGAGCCTGTCGGCGAAAGCGAAGCGACTGTTGCGCCTCTCACTCACCAGTTAAAAAGTAAGTAGGTATAAGTAGTTAGGTACACCAATTAAAATTGTAGACCCTGAGCAAACAGTGATAATGCTTCTCTTTATTTCTTTACGAGGTTTTGCTTCGCCCGTAATCCCTTGGGATATAAAGTAGCCTGTGTTATTTTATTCCAGACCATAATCTACCCCAATCCAAACCAAATTTCAGTCCAATCCTTCTAACCATTTTGACGTGGGTGATTGAGCTACAAGGATACACACAAACTTTCGCAATAATAATAATTATTAGTATGATAATCATCATCATCATCATATTCATATCAGCCATATGACCCCCAGATAGGCCGGTTGGCGACCTGAATCCAGCGGCTCCCTGCGACCTTAATCAGGTCGTTTGTCCGCCTTGCGGATGGATTAGTATAATGGAAATGCTGAATGAGTAGAAACGTCCGATTTGCAGCTAAAGGTTTATGGAGGGCGGAAAGTAACCGAGATGGTACCTACTTACTCATGTAAAATACTGACATTCAGCTAAATCGGATTGAATACATGTCTACCCAACAACAAATTGGTAAATATTTACGAGAGAGATGAGATTTGAATGAACTATTTTCAACGTTTGACTGCACGGTTGGCGTGGCGCAGTGCAGAGATACACAATATGTACCTATAAGAGGGCGCAGTGGCAGGGCAACCTCTCGACTCTAGATTGATCCAGATTTAACAATTCCGCATCTTGTGGCATGTGTATGAGACTGACACTAATATTATAAACTAATCCCATTTTTTCCCGTCCCCGTTCGCGATTTTCGGTAAAAAGTAAAAAAAAAGTATTGGTTTAAAAGTATCCTATGTCGGTCTCCTGGCTCTAAGCTACCTCCCTACCAATTTTCAGCCAAATCTATTCTGCCGTTCTTGAGTTAAAGTGGTGTAACTAACACGACTTTCTTTTATATATATAAGATGTGAAAGTTCCTTTGTTTAGATGTTTGTCCCTCAATCACACTGAAACTACTGAACGGACTAATGAATTTTGGTACACAGGCAGGGTATGGGCTGACTTGAGTGATAGGATACCTTTTTAATCCTGATTAAATGCTCCCATAGGATAAAACAAGAATCATATGCTACGCGGAAAAGTCAAGTTTGTAAACACATCCACAAGACGAAAAATTTCTAGTGTGTCCTACAGCCTTACTGTAGTTAATTAAACTTTCATTTTAGACGGTTATTTTACATGATTCAAACCACTGTTCATAGAGTTTGTAACATTAAAAAAGGTCTAGAGTAGATGACAGCGGTCTACAGTAACAACACACCAAAATATTTTATGTGGTTTATTCTTATAAAATAAAGTACAACATTAGTTTATATGATGCCGATTTTGTTGGCAACATCTAATGCGTCATAGTCCCTGGCGAGTCGTACGTACGCCTTCTTCTTGCCGTCGGGCCTGAAACAGAGTAACAGACAATTAGTATGGGCAATAAATAATTCTTAATATCGCTAAGTAAATCTTGTTAATATCAGAAGTGTGTATTTTTTGATATCATTCTCTATCAATGAGATTCCCACAAAAATATCATCATTTTAATGCTTTAAATTTCATTGGTATGTTCATATTGTTTTGTATATATACCTGATAAGGGTGTTGACTTTCGCAACATTGATGTCATAGAGCTTCTTAACCGCAGCCTTGATGTGGTGCTTGTTGGAGCTAGTGTGAACAATGAATACCAAAGTATTGTTGTCCTCAATTTTCTTCATGGCTGCTTCAGATGTCAGCGGATACTTTATGATATTATAAGCATCCATGCTGTAAATATATACACAATATTAAAGAAACACAGAAACATAAGATGTGAATGATATTACATTGTATTGACCCAAATTTTTTCTTACATGTAGCTCTTGCAATTCCAAAGTATATTAATTTAACAATAATCAATCAGGTATGTTTGTCATGGGATAACAATAAAGGTGAAATCTTCTTTGTCACAACTTCATAAAGACATAAAATATAATTATGTGAACTTACCGATTCCTCTTGGGAAGCGACTTCCTGGGGTACTTGGGGTGCCTTGGAGGTTCAAAGGTCTTTGGCCTGCGGAAGTGCACAGAAGTGCGGATCTTGCGTACTCTCTTGCCATGTTCACCTTTAACTACCTAAAAAATAACAAAGATTATGTTAGCATTCCAAAACAATACAACTGTCATGTGGATGTCACATGTCATATTATGTTCCTGTATTCACTTTACTATAGATTAAATAAAGAACAGTACTAATAGTATTAAACATTGATCTATTAGTAATTCTGTATTTATAATCTAATTAGTAGTTCCACCAAATCTATTCAATCAATGAACTCATATCTATAGTAGTAATATCTTCACTGGCAACATGTGCTTTTGATTCTATTGTCAACAATGGGAAATAAATAGGTACATAATTCCTGAATGAATTTTAATTTTGCATTTCAAAATTGGACAATATGTTTATTTATTTGATTACTAAAACATACCTTTCTTTGTGCTTTGAGGGCCTTAGCAACGGGTTTAACTACTTGTTTCTTCTGGCCCTTGATGCCGGTCTTCTTAGGCTTAGGGGCAATCTTCAACTTAGCCGCTGCTGGTTTAGGTTTGGGCCTTGATGCAGCTGCAGCTTTCTTCACTGAAGGCTTGGCACTAGACTTAGCTTTCAATGCAGCAGCTTTAGCAGAACCAGGCTTAGCAGTAGGAGCTGAAGCCGGTTTCTTCTCAGCAGGCTTGGCAGCAGCTGGCTTCGCAGCAGCAGCTGATGCTGGTTTAGCGGCGGCAGGCTTAGCTGCGGGCGCTGCTTTAGGCGCAGCTGCTTTAGGAGCAGGTGCAGGCGTTTTAGCTGATGCCGGTTTAGGTGCAGCAGCGGCAGCGCCAGATGAAGATGCAGCTTTAGGTGCAGCTGCAGGAGTTTTAGCCGTGGCGGGCTTCTTTTCCGCGGGCTTGGCCCCGGAGGACCCTGAAAGAAAAACGACAACATAGTAGTACTTAACCTCAATCTGTAATGCTTTTAAAATTTAATCACACAAGGTTTGTTTCTAAAAAATAACTATTATAGTACGAGAAACTTCGACTTAAATCCGTTTTATATCATTTAGAATAGAAACATCAGCACAATACGCACAGGATCCACAACAAGTACCGCGTGGCCGAGTTAGTAAATGTCACAATGTTTAAGTCCCACATTCTTGTCTTAACAATTGATACGATGACTAGAAAACGACTCATGAAACTTTAATTACTTCTTATGATATTAAATTCACATTTCACTGATTTAATTCCACAAAATATAAATACATACCGGATTTCTCGGGTTGCTTCTTAGGAGGCATCGTGACAAAAAAGATGGAGGACTACTGCTTATGTTGCCAGTTAACAATAGATTTTTAAGTACTTTTTTACGATGGTAACTTTGTAAGTGTGTTGCTGTTTGTCTATTCCATCTTACTTACTATTCTTACTATATGTATCTTACATCTTACTAATATATTACTAACTAGCTTCTGCCAGCGGCTTCGCCCGTAAAATGCCTATGTATTACTTCAGACCATAATCTACCTTTGGTCCCAATTTCATTCCGGTCCCCTTAGTCGTTTTAATATGACTGAGTAACAAACAAACACATAAACTCACATATTTTCACATTTATAATATCGGGCCAAGCTAATTTCAACCATCGGCCCTACAGTTACAGCGTAAAGTCTATGGATGAGTATTGTAAACGTAAGAGTAAACAAATATAAGATGAAAGCTTCGAACTGCTAAGCCATCGGGAGTTACACGTGTTATTGTGAGTCAACCATAAAAGATAGACGTGTGCTGTTGTGGGATATTATTTAGATAATGTAGAACATTTCCATCATACATAGTATTAAGCCTGCTCACGCGACGGAAGCTTAAAAAATGGAATAACTTTTCCAGTTTTCCCAACACTTTCCTTCACTGCTCTGCTCCTATTGATTGTAGCGTGATGAAAAGTATGCTATAACCTCCCCAGGAGTATGAAGAATAATTGTACCAAGTTTCGTTAAAATCCGCCAAGTAGTTTTTATTTCTATAAAGGAGGCCATACACGCTAGGTTATGCATGATGGTTTTAGCCGTGCATGATGCATAACCGACAGGCAAGCCTGGCGTGTATGTGATTAAACTACATAACATATAAAGAAGGCACGTACATGCAAAACCTAACGTGTACGTGTGGTATGAAATTCGGTTATGCGTGTCGGTTTTGCATGCAAAGTTATATATAACCATCATGAATAACCTAGCGTGTATGGCTGTCCTTAAGGAACATACAGACAGACAGACAGACAAAAATTTTACTGATTGCATTTTTGGCATATCGATCACTAATCACCCCCTGCTAATTATTTTGGAAATATATTTCATGTACAGAATTGATCTCTCGACAGATTTATTAATAGATTACTAATTTACTTAATATTATAAATGCCAACGTTTGTTTGTTACTGAATCACGACAAAACGAATTTAGATAAAAATTTGACGGTATAATCTAGACGGTTCTCTTGACTTAAAAATACTTCATTAAATTAAAATAATACATATGTCGCAATGTCCTGGGTTCGATTTCAGGTCTATAAATAATTCTAAATTAAAATACATTTGGTGTCCACGAGCGGCACCGATTGCTTTCCATTAGGTGTTTAGTAATCAGTCTACTTGTTTGCCGCCCTATACCATAAAAAATTACAATTGACTAAAATAGGCTATAAATCAACACGCTACGTTCAATAGCCGAGCAGGGCGGGTGCAACAGCGCGGAAGTAGCTAGCAGTACCTGTATAAGATAGGGGTTGTGGACCATAAAAATAAACACGTAGACATTTAAAATACTATGCACCATGTGTATTTACTTACATAAATAATTATGTATTAGGTAATTAAAATTAAGCACAAAAATGCCATAAAGCTAAAATTAATACTAAGAGGCACAGATATTAAATTATTTACAACATTTTAGAATAAGCCCAGACCTTAACCAAAACACTAATGGGGGACGAACTAGCATTACTAGTATTTATGACTATCCCAAGTCATTTTATTAGTAAGAATTAAGACAGACTAGACAGAATCATGTGAGTGAACTAAGATCACCTTGAGAAGGTTTTTAACTATTTAAATTTGAAAGTTCTATTAACTTTTTAGGAAAAAGGTTTCTATAAAACTTTTATTTTGTAGGTACTCATATTGATGCACATTTATATTAGAATTAAATACTCTCAGTTAGCAAAGTAAGTGCTTTGGAATTTTATGGTCCTAAGCTTATTCTGTACTGGTTGCAAATATCAGATAAGCTACATTATATTCTTTACATAATCAAGCCATCTAATAGACTTTGTCAAATACTTTTTTACATATTTTATATCTTCTCAATATAATATTAGTAACTAATAACAAAGAGCTTAGAATTTGGTTTTTGTCGACAAAAATGAATATCAACATAAAACCATTTAAAAGTTCATAAACAAATGGTATCAGTATCTGGTATCAATAATTCCTAATAGTTGTAATCACTGGGAGCTTGACTAGAGCTGGCAGCTGTTCGATGAAATGATCCTATATTCAGAAGTGGTGTATTATAATTTGCGTTAACTGAGCCCTGCATTGGAGACTGTGCATTAGCAACAGTTTGCACAGGTCTTTTGCCTATTATTAAAGGGAAACACTCGTCAGGAATACCAGATAATGCTGATTGTACTCTCTTCATGCGATTAGAACACTCTTCAAAGTGATCAGTAATATACTTAAGTTCAGGTGCTTTTGCAAGATTATAATGGGTTTTCAAATTTTTGTCAATTATTTTCAATCCTTCTGAACTAGTAAAGGTAACTTTTTCTCCGTTATAAAAGAAAATATCAATATCAGTTGTATTTTCCATTAACTGGCATTTTGCTAATGATGTGTACAGTGTTATCTTTGGTGTTTTGGCTTTGACAAGTTCAACAAATCGTGAAGCATATAAATATTTTTTCCAGTGCTTTTGTGGCAAATTATGATACGTAAATACTTCATCAGGATTAGGATCATGGTCAATGTTCAAAGTTTTGGTTCTGCTGTCCACTGTATATATTATAATTTTCATGCCATCTTTGGATATTTTACATATTTCTGTAATTTGTTCTTCTCTGTCTTTACCCTTCTTTTTAATGAACTCCACAATTACTCCAGAAGGTTCTATTTTTAAGATGGCATTACGTGTCCGGTGCGAAATTGTAGGCAATCTTTCAGCACACAGTGGAGGAACACTCAAAACATTAGAATTAACAGCACATGTTTTGGGAACATTTTCTTTGTTTTCTTCTGTTTTTAACTGAGGTGTTTTACATTTTATATCCAAATTTCTGATGTTTTCAAATAAAGACAGATTGCTATTGCATGGACTATCATTTTTCTGAAACACATTATTTTGACTTCTGAAATCAAATGTTTCTGCTGAAGGTGTATCAACAACAGCACACAAATTATAATTTCGGTTATTGGAGCATGTAGAGTTTGAGCTGATTTCTTGACTAAACAGATTGTAAGATGTAGGCCTCATGTCTTTCTTTTCAATATGTGGCATCACATGGCACTCAGACTCGCCTTTTTCATCATGTTTGTATTTATTGCTATGCTGGGTGCTGTGCAGTGTAGTAAGAAAACCAGAATCTCGAGATATATCTTGTTTACATGTACCTTGAGAGTTACACAAGAATGGATGTTCCAGAATTCCCTTTAATGTTATTCTTTTTGTAGGATCTTTGCACAAAAGCCTCTGTAACAAATCCTGGGCTTGCAGGGAAAGTTCTAATGGAATCTTGTAATCTGCATTTATAACTTTATTTAAAGTGGTCTTGACATGTTGAGTGTGGAAGGGTGGGCTTCCTACTAGTAAAGTGTACAACATACACCCCAAACCCCAGACATCAGCTGGTAATCCATGGAATTCTCTAGCAGCTACCTCTGGAGATATATAATTTGGTGTCCCACACATGGTAACATGTTTCTCATCAGGTCCATTCAGCTGTGTTGCTAAGCCAAAATCAGCAATTTTAACATTTAGGTCCTTTGTCAGTAGTAAGTTGTTCAATGATAAATCTCTATGAATGATGTTGTGTGTATGGAGATATAACACTCCACTCAATACTTGTCTAAATATATCAGCTGCTGCCTTTTCAGAAAGTCCGCGTGTACCTAACTTGAAGTGTTTTGCTAGCTCCCCGTTGTGAGCTAGCTCTAAAACTAAATAAACATAATGTGCATCTTCAAAGAATGTGTATAATTCTAAAATTGCAGGATGTTTAAGACGCGAGTGAATGGTCACTTCTTGTCTTACTCTGCCAATCATACCAGCACTTGCCATGAGTGCTTTGTCTATCATTTTGATAGCAACAAATAGTCCTGTCCTTCGACATCTTGCTCTATATACATGTGCAAATCCTCCTTTACCAAGATGTTCCAATATTTCGTAATCTTCTATTTTTTCACCAAACATTCTTGGGGCTAAAATATTCTGGTATCATAAATGAAAGCAGTTTTTCTTTTTGACATATTTATATGGATCTTCTTTATAGTATCCATTATTTTTTATTATACTGAAAAATAAAAGATAAGTTTCTTTAGTCAGTGGGTGCTAATAAATATTTACATAAGACTAATAAGCAATTTATTCAAGATTTAAGAGGTGGAAACAATATTAATTATTATTTACCTTATTCACTATCCATTTGGCATCATCAATGCTTTTAGAAATGATTTGTTTTACTCTCTCTGGATCAGGTTCAAACTTGTGTTGTTTGTAACTCTGAAAATAAAGAAATAAAATTGATTTATGTTTTTCCTATTAGTATTGAGATTCCATAATATTGAAATTTCATTATATATAAAATGAAGACTTGATATTAAATTTGAAAGAAAAAACTGTAACACAATGTAATTATTGATGTACACAAGTAGTAATTATAACTTTTGCACCTAATATTATTGAAAACTAGCACTTATTTAGATTATCTGGTTTCAAAATTCAACAGCGCAAAGACACTTTAGTTTCGCAATAAATGTTGAATATAATGCGGGTTATGCGGGTTCCTTAAAATGGTGTTCACACAACAAATACTGGTTTTATCAGAATTAAGTATTTAAATTACCTGTTTAACTGCGAATTTGTAATGTTTACAAGCGTCAGGGGGAAGCTTTTCACACTGTCTCAATAAATGTTTATATAACTGCAAAGATGTCATAACAACTTCTGAATCATTAGAAAAGTATCTTATGATTTTCAACATTTACTTTTAAATAGTTTCAACACTGTAAAATTCAATTATTTTCTAAGAATGCAATTTACTGTATAAGATCGTGATCACGTAACTTTGACGTTCTGTCAAGCAGCTGTCAGTGCTGTCACGCATCTGTCCGTCTGTTGACTTGTCTACTGTTGTAGAAATATAGATTAAATAGAAAATCGTCCACAAACTAATAATAACCTGTTGCACTGTCACAAATTTTAACGATTCCCATTCATTGTCCATCAAAATTACCTACAACGTGAGTCGAAATAGTTTCAATGCGAAACACAAATATGGTAATTTCATTTTCATTATTATCATTTCATTATTTATTATTTTTGACGTTTTTGACTATCATTTTGTAATGAATTAACTTTTTGAAACAAAAATATTATTGCTCCTGTATTATCTGTCAGTTACTGTCCTCATCAAAATATTTTATCTGTGGTACACACTCACTCATCCATCATCTTTTCTTTGAATAGAATAGAATTTATAAAATAAAAAATGGGCGAAGTTGTGATAGATTGTACTTGTTGCAATCAGTTATGAGTGTATTTAAAGTATGTAGTGATATATGCTACTAAGTTTTACCTTACATATATTGAATCATTTAAGGATTAGTGTTATGATAAGTCAATAGGTAGTCTTCTTTATGTTTGTGATTGTATTACATACCTTGATAATGATTTGTTAACGCTAATGTGGTATGGCACTTGTTACAATTCGTCGTTCTCCGAGTGTGCAAACACCTAGGAAAACGGTGAGTACTGACTCTTATCAAACAATTTTCAGTGTTATGATGTTGTGTCAGATTGGTGAAAAGTAAGGCATCTGTGTCTACATCAAATGAGTATATTTTCGAAGAATATGATACTAACATGATACATGATCATCTGTGTTTGCTGTAGAGGGTCACATGTCTCTATTTACCAATAACTTTTAACCTTGTTTTGCTCTTTGTCTGTTCCTTCAGTACAATAACAATTGACCCTCTTTATGAACCTATCATGTTTCCTGCTAGGTATGTAAGTAATGTTGCCTTGGCAATTCTTAGGTTCAAAACCCCTGAAGTATGCAATTGTCATAAAACTGTTGTACAATCTTAATTGAATCTTGCTTTGTTTTAGGATGAGGCCGAGAAAGCAAGTGATAATATTGAAGACGATGTTGGGAACCGCATCAGCAAGAGGTAGGTAATATTGTTATCAAAATCTTTATTACTAGCAGTTATGCCTTTTAGGGAATTGTTGTTAACTTACAGAAACAAAATAGAATAGCAATTTCTATTTGTAATTTTCTAAATACATACAGAATAGAGTATCCAAAAACTAAACAAATACAATGTTGGTTTCATGTATACTATTTAAAATTGTCATAACTTAATATGCAGCCCATGGCTCCATTCCAAGTGGTTATTTTTCATGCTTTCATACCATAATACCATTGGAATTTTGCTCTTCCTCTAAATTAACCCATACACAGTTTACTTAAGTTCAAAATTTACTGCAATATTTATCATTTTGTTTTTATGTCTTGGTATTTTTATCAAGAGTGCATTTTCACATAATCAGTGATTCATTACCCATCTTAGAAAAGTAAATTAATTATTGTCTAAGTAAATGCTAAAATTAACTACATGAATAACTATTATTTCTTAATAATTATGGTGATTCAGAGCTTTCGAATATCAGATAACATGCTGTTTATACAATTTTACTATAAATGTGTTAATGTTTATTACCAAATGTACATAGACGATTGAAAAGTAGATTTATAGCATTTTACATCTCTAGATCTACTTAATTCCCTCAAATTATTACAATTTTATTATTGTTTAGTAGTAATAAAACTAAAGTTATCATTAAATTAAGCCAATAGTCTGGTCTTAATTCATAAACTAACAATTACAAAATAAATATTCAAGAAATACTGTTCATAGTAAAGAAATAGTTTTCATTCAATTTGACAACATAATCTTTCAAATATTTTAATAATCTCCAATAATAGAAAAGGAGCCATTAAACTGTCAAACACCAAGCGGTCACCGGTGACCGCGACCCATTGTTCTTTAATTGTGTCTATAAAACCGGTACACGACGAGTTAAAACTAAATTGATAGTTCTTCTGTTTAAGAACATATTGCTTATGGTAATTCAAAGCTAAGTTGTGTATGGTACAGAATATTTATTACTACTGCATAGTCTACTGAAATCTTAGTAACTTAAAACAGAAATGCATTTTTTTAGTTACATAATTATTCTGATGTATTTAAATTGTGGTTTGATTGGTCCCTCAACTCTATGAAGTGATTTTTAAAACTTCCAGTTAGGAATTTAAATTGAATACATAAAAACTCAAAACTACTTTTTAAATAGTCTTTAAAACCTATAGCTCAGCTTGTTTACTAACCTACCTGTTCACCATAATATCCTTACAAATACAAAGGTTACTAGGAGAAGGGATTTGATGTGTAATTCTGCCAGTGCTTGAACTCACCTTTACATAATTAAATATCAAGGACAAAAAGCTGAAAGCAGATCTTAGTGATTGAGTTTGACCTTATTAAAACTGTTGCATATTGGTTACTGGTAGAAAAAGCAAGGACCTACATTGTTATTGTGAATATTTCTCCTTAGTTACTGTGTCTAGAATAACGATTTCCACACCAACAAAACTCTCGATTTGGTAGTGTATAACTGTAATAATATTTATTGTTATAAGTATGTGTATATTTTTCCTTAATTACATTTCTATTAAATAATTGCAGTATAAATGCTATTATGTTTGTAACAATACGTTTCGCGTATAAAGCACTGCGTGTTCCTTTCCCGATCGCCTCGTGTTCCTGTTCTGCGCCGTGTTTCTATATTTAAGCGATAGTTTGTGCTGAGTTCAGAAGGAAGCTATGAGTATTGTGACGTCGTTCGTCGAGTGGGCTCGTTGCGTCGCGCACGCATTTTAATGTCGTACGGGATGTCTCGGATTGTGCTTCGTGTGTCGGGATCCAGGCCGTGGTTGGCTAAAATTCGCAGACGTAATCTTTACATCCTTCAACAAAATTGAAATGTAGTTGATAGTGCATTCTGAAGTGTTATAAAAATTAAACATTGTGTTTATATTTTGAAATGGTTGCATTCAGGTAATTATCAAAACAATTGCATATTTGGATGTTTCAAGGTGCTTTTAAAGTAGATATTCTTAGGGAGAAATGCTAATTCATATTGATGTAATCTAAGTATACACTGCTGGTTTTGTATTTATGTACAACAAAAATATTTATTTTATTTACTAATTAGAGTAATTGGGTGTCCTTAATGTAGGTGTTGTACTATATTCTATATATGTGAGTATTTCTTTGATAAGGTAGCATATAAATAGTTGTAATCCGTGGAACTGAACAGGAAAACGAGGAAAATGTGTCTTACTATTAACAAAACAAATTCAGTACCTATCTGTGTTATAATTAATTTATGTCGTACTGTTTAAGGTGAACTTACATTTTGTTTTGCACGACAACTGCGTTCATATGTACATACGTTGTTCCATTCTAAAAATCCCGCCATTTTTGCTGAAAATATTGTATATACTTAAATAATGTTGTCTTGTATAGTACTTGTACTTACTATAAATTAACTTGTACTTCAACGATGGAAAATGGGCTTAATAACTAACTAACTAAATAGATTTTTGTTTACTTCTCATAGAAGTGAACCTTGAAAGTGCACCATGTACGTATGTACGTTAGTAGTACTAACTTAGTACGTACATACTAGTGAACATAACTGGGTATTTTCCCCAACCATAAGTAACAAATGTAATCAGAATCACAAACAAAAATCTATTCCTCCAGACATTGAACCAGTCCCGAATATTAATTCATAATGCGGGTAAACAAATGTAATGTAAACAATGTAAGTATGGAACCTACATTTAATAGAGTCCTGGTCGGGTGACACCATAGGACTAGGACTCTAGTATAAATTAGTCAAAATATCGGAAATTCCATAACGAGAGCTTCATAAACAAACTTTTAATGCCAAATGACTGATTTTAGACTTAATGGTTTCTTGACGACGATATTTTCATTTTACTGTTGTAAATAACGTGGTAAAATGTTTCACTGACCAAAAAGACTTTCAGCAAACTTTCGTCGTGGTTATTATACTTACTAATGTAGGTCTGCTGTATTCTCTGAAGTATCCGCTTTTTCACTAGTTAATTTAATAAATAATCTTAAACTTAGATATGGTATCGTTGTTATTCGAAAGTCATTTATAGTATGTACAAATAGAAGCTAATCAGTAGATTAGTTGGTGTGTGATTATTTCTACCTTTATTCTCTTTATGGCAAACTACAAATGAACTTGAACACATATTACAAAGGATTTTAAGGTAATTGATCTGCTATCCTCTGTGTCAATACGGCACTTATGGATACGGTCAATCAATGTTATTATAAATATGCTCATAAATTATGATGTTTATCTTGTTAAATTGTTACAAAAGTTATTATCAGCGCTAAGCTCTATGCTATAATACCTAGTTCGAAGTGCACATAAAGAGATAAAGCTAGTGCGTTAAATATTACATGCATTATTGTTATTATTAGTATACCTAATACTTCTTCATGTAAACAATACATTTTCTACTAAGAAAAAAAAATGCAAAGAAGTAAGGAGTATTTAGAGAAGCGTAGGAATGTAAATGTGCACGAAAATGTTGTGAAGATAAAAAAATATTGAACTGACTTTAAAAAGGGCGTACGTACATACACACATTAACTCACACACACACACACACACTTTTGTGATGGGGATAGGCAGAAACTAGACCTACTATCTACAGCCCTTAGACCTTTTACGATTGAACGCCTTGGCGGTTCAGCGGTTGTATCGCGGTTTTTCATAATTAAGTCGTGTGTCCAATATACAAAATGTCCCGTAGTCATGCCTAGTCCTTCCTTTACAATGTGTGCGTTAAGATGCACAATTTACAAGTACACATTATTTTTTACTTAGCTATAAAATGAGAAATTGGATTTGGAACAGTCAGTAGCGTCGTGTGATACGCAAATGTTTGCGTTGTGGTGCCATGTGGTAACTAACAAAAGCCGCGACGAGCTCCGAATTGGGTGAGGTTGACGGTGCGCGCTGGGCGGCCGCAGTGTTCACGCTCATGTCTACGTATAGTATGGGCGGGCAACGCAACGTTTTGGCAACGCTCCGACGACGCTATTTTTAATGAACCTTGAGAGAAACCGCCCTTGCCGCCTTAATGCAAGTCAACATTCAGTTTGTTGCTTACTATCCATCGTGAATCTATTTTTCACTCTATTATTAGCGTTGAAAACTTTACCCTCCCATGTATAGTGATATAGACGCCGTTTCCCGCAGCGCTATTTTCGGATGACCTCATCATAATATATTTTACGCTTGGTATTAAACATTTACCTTTTTTGAAAGGCATTCGACCCGTATGAAGGTAAATGTCAGTGCTGTAATTGCGCTTATTCGTAACAATGAGTTTGATTGGGCAAGTTAAGAAATAGAACCAAGTCCAGATATACATACACGTTACAATTAAAGATATACCGCTTAATTAAAATGTTTTCTGGTATTGGAAGTAATTACGTGTGTGTGTTTTTATTGTAATTACGATTTTCCTAATACATGTCCGAATAATTGGTAGTACTACGTATTTTGATATTATAATTATTCGAGTAAATGAACTTTATTATATGTAGAGACAATTATGAACAAGTAAACTATTAAAATTTTGAGATGACGTCGAATGTGTTGAAGTTAGCTCGGCAGTCAGCCCATGATGGTAGATCGGCCCGGTGCAGTGCGCTGCTTGCGCCCGCGCCAGTGAAAGGGAGGTTAAATGCGCCGCCCGCAAAACGAATTGCAACAACTTTACTAAAAATGGCGTCATTCATACATTTCACGGTTGCATTAAGTTTTAAAAGTAATTATAATCAAGGTACTAATGCAATTTTATTACACGATAAACTAATGTATGAATTAATCGTGTACAATGTTGTAGATATGAAGATGTTACGTCTACAATTAAATTATGTACTTATTTAGGTCATTATTTTAATGTGAGACCTTAAAACTTAGAAATTCAAGGTTGTATTTTACATAATGTACTAGTTATTGCAATTCCTTGCTTTAACGAAATTGAGTCAAGTGTAAATAAGTCGGCATTCTTAATAAGACCCGGTAGTTTCTTCTAACTAGGTTTGCTATTAATTAGCTTAACCAAATGGTGCTATACAATTTCATGTTATTTGTCCTTGCTTCACATAATTTCTCATGGTAAATAGTAGTTATGCTCAATATTTACCAAGATGATCCATAGATGTTTATGCTTAATGCTTTATAAAATTCATTCCTTTACGGATTTTCATTAGATACATTTCTGCATGGCCTCCGGATTGTGGTTGTGTTTGTAAATGCAACCGCTATTCTGACCACATAAAATATTCTACTTGAGTTGCTAATAAAATAATTAAAACGGTTGTTTCATTGTTTCAGTCTCAATGAGTGCTACTTCGCGAATAAGGGTGCAGCAGTGGTGCTGGGAAGTGCAGAGCGTGGCTGTACGAACCCGTGGCGATCGCCAGCGCGCGCGTTCCCTCAGCCCGACATACAACATCACTTGCAGTCCATGTTCTACTTGCTGCGCCCCGAGGAAACGCTCAAAATGGTACAGTAACACACCTTCGAACTTATACCTAGTTAACACTTCACTCATTATTTAACACACAACTCTGGTTTATTACTAGGCGGTGAAACTGGAGAGCGCTCACGCAGGTCGCACCAGGTACCTGGTAGTGGTTTGTCGCAGCAACGAGGCGGCGTTGCTCGGCATCGATTGCAATGAGCGCACCTCGGTCGGACTCGTGCTGCGCGTACTTGCTGATACTTCTATTAAGTTGGATGGCGATGGGTACGTTACCACTTCATTATAGCTTATACTCCAATGTCTTTAACTATCAGTAGCATGCATCATACTATTAATACATTTTATCATATAAACCTAAAGAAAGGCAAGTTCCACTCAATTGACTGGCCGTTATGTCACGAAACAGTTTTCCTCACAGAATACTTTTACTAAGGCCAGAACAATAACTAATTAGGGATTCATTGTCCGCAGAGGATTCAGTGTATGTGTGTGCAATCAACAACACATATTCAAGCCGGTATCCGTACAGGCCATGTGGTGAGTATGAGCTGAGCTACAGTTTCATTTCAATAACAGAATAATTCATATATGTTACTTCGTAAGCTTATAGGTACAATACGTCATAACTACATCACATTGATTAACTGAAATAAATATGAGCTATTTGTATCTTTTTGATAATTTATAAGCACGAAGAAAATAAAACGGGATGTTAATGGAAGTCCAACGAATATTTGCAGGTCAGCGTTACAAACTCTCCATCGTGCGAGTGCACAGGCCCGGGAGATGAACCACTTCGCGGGCGGCACGTCGCACTCGTGGTGTTCGTTCTATGAGAGCCACGTGGACTCGGACCGCTCTTGTCTCAACGAGTGGCATGCTATGGACTGCATCGAGTCCCGCCGCCCACCTTCTCCCGATTCACTCAGACTCAAGTGAGTTTTCTACACCATTGTTATACTCAGTAGCAATGTTACCAATAATAGTTGGCCCCGGATATCTAGCTTCCGGCCTCCGCAATAAATTTAAACTTCTCCAACTGCGTGTGAAACACACAGTAATGATATTCTACCTAGACCTAGTTTATTGGCCTAGTAAAGGATCTAACGCACGCCAATGTGCTAATTAACGTGCAATTATGCAAAGATCAACCGTTACATGGTTACTGTGGGATTTCTTACATATCTTCCTTAATAGAAGTCTGAATGCATGAATCGGTTGCGTTTTTAAAGATTTGTAGTTTCAGTAGCTAAGGAATTTAGGAAATAGGTAGTAGCTCTGTTTGTATGTTTTAGAGCTTTTATATTCAACGATTTAGTAAAATCACGACTAATATAAATTCTATTTTACTTTGAAGACCTCGAGAAAGGGACGAGACTGAACGTGTGATACGCTGCACACTCAAAGAGATCATGATGAGCGTGGATCTGGATGAGGTGACGAGTAAAGCCATTAGAGGGCGGCTCGAGGAGGAACTAGACATGGACCTCGCCGAATACAAGTCCTTCATCGACCAGGAGATGCTCACCATATTGGGACAGATGGACGCACCCACTGAGATCTTCGATCACGTTTATCTCGGCTCCGAATGGAACGCCAGCAATCTAGAAGAGCTACAACGCAATGGGTATGTTGTGTGTTTAATCAGTTTACGCATACAAATTGTGAAGTAATTTTTGCTTTTTCTTGATACATTTTTGGGGATTCCTGTCGTGCCATTTAACTTTCGGAAAATCATATTTCATGTTCGCCACTTTTTATTATGACAATTACTAATATTCACAATTATTTGACTTTTCCAGGGTGAGGCACATATTGAATGTAACAAGAGAGATCGATAATTTCTTTCCCGGTATGTTTGACTATCTAAACATAAGAGTTTACGACGATGAGAAGACTGACCTTTTAAAACACTGGGATAACACATACAAATATATAAACAAAGCAAGAAACGAAGGGTCGAAAGTTCTTGTTCACTGCAAAATGGGAATTAGTAGATCGGCATCTGTAGTGATTGCATACGCCATGAAAGCGTTCAATTGGAATTTTGAGAAGGCTCTCAAACATGTTAAAGCAAAAAGGAGTTGCATTAAACCGAATACAAATTTTTTAAACCAACTTGAGACTTACCAAGGTATACTCGATGCTATGAAAAATAAGGAAAAGTTACAGCGATCTAAATCAGAGACTAACCTGAAATCTCCAAAAAATATTTCCAAAACGGAAAGCAAAGTGATGGAGCCGACGCCGCTGGTGCTGGCGCTGACGGGCTCGTACTCGGGCCGGCCGCGGTCCTGGTCGCCCGACACCAAGGCCGCCGCCGAGCTACTGCCGCCGCCGCAGCCCACCTCCGTCTCGCTCGAGAACCTGCCGTTCGAGACCCGCCATATGCTCATGCCTTGCGCTAACGGCAGTTACAGTGTCTCACCGAATCAAATCATGAGGTTGAAAGAAGAGGGAGCACCGTCAGTCAAACATATAGTCAATGAAATAGAGAATGCTGCGTCGAGCGACCGAAAAGATTTTAATAAAAGATATCAGAGGTTAAATTTTGGTACCCAAAATGAATCCCAAAATAGTAAAACGCTCGAGGCTCCCGCAACCGCGATAAATCAAGCAGAGACACCGAATAAGCCACCGCAAGTCTCGCCTTCTAAAAATCTAAGTCACAAATATGCGCAGTCGAACTTCGAAGTGGATAAAATACATACTTGGGATCCTGGGGAGGCATCGTGGCCGAAAGGCGACGAGACTAGAACAATTAGCAATAGTGATAATATAGTGAAAAGTGACAGTGGAATTATAGACGTAAAGACCAATAAAGTGACAACTAGTGACACTCTTGCAAATTCTGTAGAACGTTCAAATTTAGATAGCGACGATAGGAGAGCCGTCGACGACGACGCACCACCGCCGAGCAGACAAAGCTCGTGGAGCTCGTTCGATAGCGCAGTCGTATTGGATCTCTCGCGACACTCCTCGTGGGGCTCTTACGATACTAGGGCTCCCAAGCCGCAGGTACCGCGGGACGAACCCAAGCGGCCCAAGGAACGTAACGACGAGCGAGCTCGTAAGGATGACAGCGATAAGGTCCCCGAGCCCGGACTCGCTCCTCAGAAGTCCGACCTTGGCATCATCAGCGAGCACAACGAGGCGCGCAGCAGCGGGCGGCGCGCTGACAACGTGCGGAAGTTTAATGAAACCTGTGCCATACTCAAGGAGCTTGCCTCCGCCGCCGCACGCATGGAGCGCGCGCGCGACCGCGGCGCGTCCACGTGGAGCGGCCGTCTGTCCGCGCCCGACACGTGGCTGCGCGCCGGCCTGCGCCGCCGCCGCGCCGCCTGCGCCTCGCACGGAGATTTGCCGCGCGCCGCCCCTGCCGCGCCCGAGCCCGCCGAACCTGCCGCGGGCCTCGTTAGCAACCTTAAGAAAGAGTTTGAGGCACGCTCTGAGATCGACACGCTTCGCCGCGTCGATTCGCGTCGTTCCACTCCCTCCGAGGGTCGTGATCGGCCGCCCGCCTCTCCACCCTCGGGCGAAGACCTGTCGGTGAAGGTGCTGGTGAATCGCTACGACCGACCGGGTCGGGCGCGCTGTGAGTCGAGTTGCGAGACGAGGCGTAGTCGCGCGTCCGAGTCTGTATCGAAGAAGTGCAAGCTGGCGGCGGACGGCGAGGTCCGGGCGCGGTCTGCGCTGCGCAACTCGTTCTGCGGCGCGGTGCGGGGGGCGGCGGAGCGACCTCCCCCGGCTCCGACGGTAGTGTCGCTGGCTCCTATCGACTACAGCGAAATGGTGGTATCAACTGTGATGTCGAAAGCTCAAACTAAAAAACAATTGCAACATGGGAAGACCCATCCGTTGACGAGGCTCAACTTGAATCGGTCGAATAATAGATGTTCAAATCCTGTATATAATACTATGTAGAAGTATTTATGTTTTTTATTTATTATGAATTCTTGCCAAACTCGATATTTTATCTTTCTAGAGTTTTATATACTATATTTACAAAATGAAATCACAGTGTATTTGTCTATCACTTAAATTGTATAAACGGCTGTTTGTGAGTAGAAAAATGTTAAAAAGGAGAATAAATTCAATACAACTGATGTACAACTTTTACGTCCGCGTTTATTGTGCGAGACCTATCCCAACTACGCTTACAACGACATTTAATAAGAATGAGTAAAGAAGGCAAAGTTTATTCTAAAAAACAAGTAATGTAAAGTTATATCAAGAGCCTAATTTGTGAATCTTTCTCATTCTAGACAAAACCAACAAGAATCACTTGGTAATATAATACGATGCACTGAGCATTAATGTATTCGAGATATATTCCACAGGGTCATATTCTTCGAGTGCCTATAGCTTACATGTATCCTAAAGCATCTGGCAGCTAGTCAACCAAAGTCTACGGTCTGCAATCTTTTTCCAGTAACAAACGAAACACGAGGTACATTTGGTATTTCGCTTATTTTTTTGTAGGTCTCTGTAACTTTCCTCGGTTTTCTTCTGATTGTACCAAAATCAAAAGCGTAAATGCCGCCTTGATTATTTCTTATACAGCATTCGGTCTGAAAATAAAACGTATGTTGTGAGTTTTGTCAGTGTCAGTGACCATACAAATAATAAGGGTGTCGTTTAGATACTTATAACTTACGACTTTCATGTTTGTATCCACTACTCTCAATATATTGGAGTCTGATCCTCCGCAAACAATCAAGTTTGTATGTGGTACCATTTTACCACAATATAGTTTTGATTGATAGTTGTCTGGTACAATAGTTTCAATTAATTTGCACGAACCGTAATCCCATAATTGGATACTATCTTTCTCTTGCCAAGAACATGTCAGTATCTAAAACAATGATAATATTATTAGCTCTATTACATAACGATAATTATGTTGTAGTCGTGACTATGTATTTGTATTTTTTATTCATAGTTGATTGTTTATTGCTCATGAATCACATCACTTTGTGGATATTTAGGAAAGTATAATTTCGAATGAGTAAACTTCGAACTTCGTCGTTAGTACGTAGAAGTCGATATTATATGCCTGATCGGAGTTGTATATATATTATTAGACTAGCTTTTACCCGCGGCTTCGCTCGCGTCACAAAAGGATAAAAAGCCAATGTGACATATACCAATACACACAGCGCCATCTATACCAATACTTTTGTTTTCCCTCGGGAATATCAAAATTTTCCGAGATAAAAAGTACCCTATTATTTAATCCGGACTTCTAACTTTACGTCTGCAAAAAATCAAAGCAATTGGTTTAGTAGTTACGGCGTGAACGCGGAACAAACAATCAAACTCACTTTCCCATTTATAATAGTAAGGATATATTATTTTCTCAACAGAATTAATGTTGTTTCTTGTTTGGAAATTACGTTTTCAATGAGTCTGAACGATTTACAAGCACTCACTGTTCGTCCAGGTTTGTCAAAATCAAGACCTTCTCCGCACATGTGGACACCAACAAAATAACGAGTAGCATATGGTTGTCTGTCGTCCCAACACATGACTGTGTCATCCCAGCCTCCAGATATCATCTCATGTTGCGACCTTGGGTTGAACGCACATGCAAATATTCTTGATGTATGCCCATCCACTTTATTCTTCTGGTTACTGCGAATTAATGACTGGTGTTTAGATAAAAAGGTACCGCATTAATACGTATGCTGGTATCAGGCGGTAAAAATATGCTACCAGTGAATTTACGTTGATTCGATTTTCGAAGTTTTTTAATTCTATCGTGGGATGAAAAGTCCACATAGCAGTGCAAAGCCCATATGACACTTTAAACTTTCGAAATAAGAATGTCACGAATACGTATAAATCTAGTGGGATATTCTAGTGGTACTATTGGATGGGAAATTAAATTTTTGATATACATACAATTTATTTTGTTTTAAATTATCTAACTAGAAGACGAGTAAGTTACTTCATTTACCTAGAGTAAAAAGCACGTTCTTGGGTCTGAGCTTCTTCATCATACATGTTCAACTTGGCATCATCGCCGTAAGTGACAAATTTACTGTGACGTGGATGATAATTTAATCCCAATGTTTGGCGCTTCTCCCGAATGGTATATAAACATTGGTCATATTTGTATTTCCAGCATTTGATACATCCATTTACATCTAAAGACAAATAATGACAATAATAATAATTAAGACTAAGACTTGGGCTTTGTATATGGTTTGAATAAAATAATGATACTAACAAGAAGATAACAACATGTTAGTAATGGGGTTTGCTTTGCTAACTGGTCTATGTTTGATGGCTGTTACTGGTCCAGGATATGCGCGAGTTTCTTCATCTACTAGAGTGTGGATACAATGTCCAGTATTGCAACTAAACACTCTCATAGTGCCGTCGTTGAATCCTGCTGCTATCTCATTTACATCTTCCGTATATTTGCAGCACATTATATCTTTATTTGTATCACTGAAATTAGTCGAAATAAATATTATAGTCGCTTTTACCAAAGTACGGTACAAATCCACCATCTAATACTAAATGTATTAGATGGTGGATATGGCATCTCGTCTTACTATTCAAAGGGGGATGAAGTCGATTACCTATTCCTACTTTTCACCAGATATGTATGTTATTAATCATAATATTACCCATAATCCTATACATACGTAGATTAAACTTACATGATTGAAAGAATGTTGACGTCTCCTTGGTAAATTTGATTTTGTTCAATTTGAAAAGATAGATTTTCTACAGTAGGAGTGCTGGTGTGGACACTAACAATTTCTTTTTTAGTACTTTTGATGTAAGTGTTTGTTATTGCGAAACTTTTTCGTGCTGCCTGCCTACTGCTAGCAGGCAGAGGACCAGCTAATATTGTCCTCTGAGGGTCCATGACTGCAGAGTGAGCACATTGTTTATTAAGAATTTTAGAATCATCAAGTACAATATCAATTTTGATTAGTTGTCATTGTTCTTTTTCCACAGAGTTACAGAGTATTCTTATTTGCGCAATTTACTATGCCTAATTCTTATTAAAACTTTTTACCTTTTATATGGACTATATATTCTTCGAGGTAATGGTTAATTTGTGCAAATCACGTATATTAGTAGAAAGTGTGGATGACACGGAAAAACAATCAAAAATATTACCTATTTATGCTAGCAAGTTATGAACATAGTGCATGAATAACATAATTTCGCTGTAGAGGAGGGTAGGCAGGACTCTAGCTATCCACCTCGAAAATTGTGGCGGTAGCTACTACATAACCTCGTAGTATTAGGTAAGCATAACCTGACGTAACAATAGACATCTACATTTAATCTGGTCGTGCTCATATTTCAGGGTCTTTTCGAATCTGTACCTATTTTGCCCAGAGAACCCGAGACTTGATAGTCGACCAATGGACTAATGACCGTTGGTTAGGTAGGTACATGACATGGTTTCTGTTCCCGCATGGAACAAGTCTGTGTAGAGATCCATTTAAATCGTTGTTTTGGGTTTGGGAGTGATAGGTACCTAAGTATGTTTGTAAGAGAACAAGAAAAAAATTGTAATGTGCCGCTACGCCAAAAAAGTTCAACTTGCTAAAACTGCAGACTGGCAGAAGCATGTGGGCTAGTTTTCTTTGATTATAGGGTACGAAACGGTATTTGTGATTAATTAAAAATAACATTGGATTCAGATAAAATATTATCACCAGTAAATCGTACTTTAAGTACGTAACCTAATGGGTAAGTGTTAGTTAACACGTAGGTACTACTTCGTAAGTAACTGTAGAAACCAATGATTTTTACTTCTCTCAACATTTTTAAGGGTCTCTCGTCCCATCGTCATAATTTCGAGGTCCATTATTGGAAACTGGCTTCTGCCAGTGGTTACTCCAGACCATAATCTATCTTTGTTCCACATTTCATCTCGATCCCTTCAGCCGTTTTGATGTGACTGGGTAACAAACATACACACAAACTCACATATTTTCACATTTATAATATCGGTTCAAGCTAATTTCAGTTACAGCGTACCTAGGCATTTGACGAACCTATGTATTTGCGTATGGTAGATACTAGATACAGTAACTGTGTCTTCTGTCTAGGGATTGAGTTGCACAATTAAGTTTGTTTTTCGTGTAAGTACTTTTTCGGGATAAAATGTACCTACAGTGTTGTGCACAGGATATTAAAGTATACCTAATCATACCTACCAAGTTCATCGTAATCGGACCAGTAGGTACCTAGTTTATGTGTGATGCGTGTACTTCCAGACAGACACAAACGTTTAATCACATTTTTGGGTTCGGTGCTTATCTAGTAACACCCCCAGTATTTTTTTTTCAATGTACAGTATTTACACTTCTACAGTTTTATTATAGGTATGTATAAGCCTCTAAATCCTATTGAATGGGACGCTACACTAATATTATATGGTATGGTAAGTATAGGGTTTGTAGAATAAAACAAAATTGCAACGCTAAATAAATTTTATTTCATGTCAATAGGTTTCACACTCAAATTATAATGTACAGCTTATACTTAATAACATTGAATCTGTCTAGCATTAGTAGAATTTTATATCACGGAGCAGCAAATAACAAGGATGTGCATGTTCAATTAAATTACAGGTGCGTAAATTGTGTTTACAAAATTACGTAATATATTTAAGCATTAGGTACTTTTCGCTGCTGGTTCAACGTCATGGCATTAAAAAAGAAACCTGATTGAGTCGCACCAAAAATTGAATGGAAAAGTAAAAAGAGAAGTAATGTGTCCCTGACCTTTGGCCTCGATGGACAGTCCTATTTGGAGAGACAATTTAATTTGAAGGCTTCTTCAATTTGAATTTATGTGTTTTAGGTTACACAATTAAGGATACACACAAATTTAATTTTTTTGATACTTAATTCATTCTAATTTTTGTAGTATCTATATTTTATAGATTTGTATTATGACGCATAAGAAGCTAATTTGGGATTTCATCAATCAAGCGCTATCAAATGTAAACGATGCGGCAGAAGTGTAGAACTTAACCAAAATCCTTCACACACTTATAAACTGCAGTCATCAATAATAAACATTCCAACATCAGGTACCTAGTGTTAAAACATGCTCAAAGAAAATCAGCGCCATTATCTAAATATATTTTCACTAACTATAAAAATAAGCATTGCAAATTGCAATTACCGTAGCAAATGTAAGGTACATTTTTTATCTTTCCTTATCCAACATTTTCAAATATTTCCCTGTTCAATAAAACTTCATTCCTCAATTAAAATAAGTTATGCTTAGTTCGAATATAATAAAATTATGGACAGGTTCAACCTTGATCACATATGGCGCCAACGAAACCACGCAAAACCACGTCGTCACACGATACTAGTTACTACAAATAAAATCATTACTCACATTGTCTTCAACACCAGTGCACTCAATATAATAAATAGACAATTATACTACTTTACAAGGAAATTCATTGCAATCAATTCACATGCTTATCTTTAATTCTCGCACATGTACCACGCAAGAGCCATGACGCGAAGCACCTCAAAATATGTAACTTGTATACCCTTGCTTGCTGTAGAGTGTAGGTAGATATACTTTGACTCTAACTATTTATAGGCAAGTACAATTCATTACAGTTTTCAAAATCAGTACAGTGTTAATGAATGCTATGTTCCGTCTCATCAAATCAGAAAGAGTACCTATAACCGTATTTTTCAGATGCAATAAACCCATTAGTACGTTGTCAATTTCAAAGCACAAATACATTTTAATTAATAAATTAGGTAAGTTTATTTTTTATAATAGCAGAATTTTATACATATATTCAAATATGCATAGGTACTTGTACAATAAATGAACTAAATCTCTGCCCACTTACTTAGTTACCTACCATGATTTCGCATGTAAATAATTACTTCAGATATTAGGTACCACGTTAGCCTGTTATTGCTTGTTACATTTTGGCAATTCACTACAAGCCGTGCATTGTGGAAGTGAAAAAGATCTGAAATTATTTATTTATTAACTGCTGGCTACACCCTTGTTTCTGTTACTTATTGTCTAATGCACCTATTATGTTCTCATTTTAACAAAGAAAAAAAAAACACGATTATTCTAAAAATATTATAGGATTAAGTACCCGAATGTATTGCACAGGTTGTAGAAATTTTTATTTGAGGGTAGTCAAAATGCCTTGAAAATTATAGATTTTATTGAGAAATAAGAATACGGCTGCAGTCTAGGGCTGATTTATCTACGATGTTGTGTTATTTACAAACATGATGTCATAGTGAATTTCCGTACAACTATAATTAAGTAACATTTAAATCCGTAGGTACTCATTTATAAGGCAATGTCCTTTATCGTTTCTTTAACCAATAAAAAATACCTACACATAAATTTAATTATAATAAATAACTGTAATAATTATGAATTCTTATTTGTTTTATTGAATGTACATAGGTAGGTGCGCTCGACACAACCTTTAGGTCTTCCCATATTTTTAAGGCTGATTTCTTGTTTTTGTAATTGGAGTAGGATTCAAAGTACTTCAAAGCCGTAGCAATTGTATTTACTTTCAATTGAAATGTTGATATACCTAAGACATTTTTAATGATCTTGAGTTACAGCCATTTTAAAAAATCGAAGCTGTTTGCTAATGGGTACCATATCGTAAGTATAAATAATCATGCCTCTAGTTGGAGGGCCTGAGACGAGATAGTATACATTATTAAAGTTTATGTATGCATTTTTCATTAATTAAGTATTTGAGTAGTTGTGTTGAATTAATTGACATTTTATTATGGCAAATGTGAACATCTAACGATTTGCGATGTTTCAAATTAAAAAATATTTCAATAGTCAGTTATGAAAACTGCTATAATGTTCATATAATTGTTATTGTTTTGTAAAGTTAATGTTCGATTAAGTAAATTAAAATTACATTGTTGCACTTCAAAGCAGTGCCTAGACTGCAGTAAGATAAGATCCAAATTTGAAGCAGCCGGTGCAAAACGATTATTTGAGGTGCTACTTTAAGCAGATCGACATCTTAAATTTGATCGCACAGATAAACCCTAATCTTTACAATGTATCTCATTATGCAAATAGGTATACAAATTATGGAAAACATGTAAATAACTATGCCACATTTATTGAAATTGACTTTTTGGGATAATGAGTATGCGATTTTTTCGAAAAATACTCGATTACAATATAATATTGTTATATTAGACTTGACACTCATTAACAATATCCTTACTCTACATCGACAATCGACATGCATATAAATTAAAACCAAACAACAAATGACCAAACCAAATAAGTTAATAAAGTAAACAAAATCAAGCGAAAACATACACAAGAAAACAATACCAATACCTAAAGTTATACCTATCAATAATATTTTCGGAATCAGTAGTTAAATACCGCACTATAATTTGCAGAAAGATATTAAAATTTTCAATTGAATGAGAATGCAGAAGTCAGTTCTGCGATAGTAGCGTGGCTTAATAAAAAATATTGCAACGTTTACACAGTTAAACGCTCGTTTTGCCGTTTCGGTTAGGTATGCCGATAAGACATTTGCTATGGATTTTTAGTAGCCAGTAAGTTTCGTTAGGTAGGAAGTTGGAAATTAGTTATAACGTTTACAGGTATCTGCCACATACAACAATTATTTTTCTTTCCTGTAGTAAATATGTAGGTATTACTTATATTGGGTGGGTCCTATTAAGAATTTTGTAATCATCAGGATTTAAATTCGGGCCTGCCAGTTAGATTTAATTCGTGCCTAATTTCTTAAGCCAAAATTGCAAGAAAACTAGTAGTTATTCTTCTAATGAAAATAGTCTTATCAGACTTCTTTGCACAGAGACGCGGCCAAAACCCAGAATTGGGAACAAAATGAGGCGTACAAGTTCTAATAAAATATTAGGGTTAATGTTAGAATCAATAATAAACATACGTTTATTACACCTAAATTAACATTGAAATAAATAATTACTATTTACTGACTTTGGCTCAGTTGGAAGGTTTCAACAGACCCGATTGTGAACGACACCGATTAGGCTACATATCGCAAATAACAAAGATAAGACATTAGTGAGCAGAAGCGTTTAAATTGTAGATTGTTGGTAATGTAAACGGTGTAAACTATAACATTTCTCTTTCAAATCGAATAGGTAAGAAAAGGTTAATATCTTTTCTGAAATTTATTCCGATCCTGTTCATTTTAGATACATCAAATGAAGTAATAAGATAAGTAAATATTTCATAATTATATTGTTATAACCACTAAGCATTTAATTTTATACAAGAAAATTTACAAGAATAAAAATGTATGCGAGTGGAATTAAATAATAATCTGTCTAATATTTTTACTAATAACTTTAGCAAGTTTCTTTTGTACTTAATAGTTTGGGCAACGACAACTACTAATGTAGGTAGGTATTAGATGGTTTTATAAGGAGATACAGTGACGAAAGTCATATTATATGAAGCTAAAGTATTGTATCAGAAAATATTGTCGAATCCTTCCATTTACTACATCCTACTACTCCAAAGCCCTGACATTTGTAATATTATGTCTGAAATAAAGTTAAATCTGTATCTATTCAATTGTAAAAATAAATATATCTTTTTATAATTTTGTAATCAGTTAACGAAGATATTTAACGTATGTAACACTTTCACCAGTACATAGAAATAATTATCGCACTGGATTTTTTAAATATCGCTAGCTCTTTTACTGTAATTTAAAATAAACATACGATGATCATTGTATTCCGATGTATGATCCAACAATCGCATTTCCTTCATCAAACACTTCCTGCCGTTTCAATTAGCAAGTTGTGGAGGTAATATTTTACTTGATCTTATTCCAGCTTACTACATATTGCAGTAATATTAGCTAGACAGTTGCGATATTCATGTTAAGTTTGTCGGATCTTTCAATGGTCGTAACGCTCTTTATATGACCTGCAATGTTGCAGCAGCAAGGTAATTTGTGTCGTTAACGTATGTTTATCTCCTCTTTAGAGATTTATAATTATTTTGTATTAGATGTCGTATTATCATCTCATTTAGGTATATACAGTCTTGCAATTTGTACAAACATCCTTCCAATTTCTTCTATGTTATTTACAGTGGCTATTGGATCAGTGCGCTACAGCTAAGTCTATGTATACCCATTCAGTAAACAATCCCACATTGCTTAGTAACAAAAATATTCTAACTATTTATTTCGTCAAAAATAGACATCTGCCTACAATTTTCATACCCACATCCACCTGAGGAAACATACACAATAAATTTATAATAATCAACATTATTTGTTAAACAATGATAACAATCAATAGATTTCTATTTTTTACTATACAATGTATGAACTCTCAACAGTCTGCTGTTAAATCATATCATTTACCTATTAATGTACAAAAGCACAGTACACTTATTTCTATTACACTCATAATAATAGCACTGAAGTTGCGTAGATCCAATCTGAAGACAGTCCGATTATTGCGACATACATTTAATATAAAGCAAAATAAAATATTATTTTCCACTGCATTCATTGCTAAAATTTATATCTAGACAGATTTAAGTTTTATAAAATGTATGCGAATATCAGTTAGAAAAATTATTATTTTCTTAAATTAGTACAAATAACTATGCAGTGATGTTTATTAAAAAATCTATATTATTTTTATAACGAAAAGTAATATTTGAAAAGCGAAACATTAGATGGTTGCTGCTCTGAATCTTCAAGCTTTTGCCTTTATATAAAATCTTAATAATCATGACAGCTTGAATTCTTGATAATGGTAACTTGAATTTTTTTAAAGGCCTTTGTAGGTCCTTTGTCAAAATATAATTATTATTTATAAAACCTACAGAATATTGATAACATAATTAAATAAATATTTCATGGGCTACAAGTGCAGTACACCATAAAACAAAACTCTAATGACAATATTTATTACAATCCAAATACAATAATCTGAAAGGAACATTTCACACTAATTACAATTTGACTGGAGCCACGTCGAGTAAATATTGTCGGTCGTGTAGAGTTCGGAAGCAAATGTTTTAGAACATACCCAACTACACGGTTGATCAAGATGGTCGTATTAGTAAGTTTCTACAGATACGTTGCGTTAACTAGTCATCTATGATTACACGATTTTTTATTACGGTAAACTGAATATCTTCGTAGAATATAGGCATTTTGCAATTCTTTTGTTACGTCATACGGCAGGCTATGAGTTGACTGATATTAATATGCGACCGAATTACCGAAACCATGTTGCGCCGGCGCCGTAGCTCCAGTCAGATTAGTTTGTAATTAAAACCTTTATCTCTACCTGATTTAATGAAGAAAAGATTTTATTTTTATCATTTTGTGATCCAAGTAAAATTATTTAAATATTACACATTTTATTACAGTGAAAAGTCAAAATATAATAGGAAAATGTATTATTTTTTAGTTACGTAATTAATTATTCTTCAGATAAATTCCGTAGGTAACTTTCGAGATTTGAATCTAGCAGTTTCAATAATAATTTTGTACATATTCTGTTTTCTGTTAAATTTTATTAAGTTCAATAAAAAAATAAATAAAGCAATAAAAAGGAAATATATAGCTCAAAAATAAAAAAATATACCTAGGTATTAGATAAAAAAATTGTGTAGGCCCGGACGTTAAGGCTTGCTCATAACTATGAGTGTGCAGGTTCGAGACCTGGAAAGTACCAATGTTACATTTTCCGAAATATATGTGAACTTTCTAAGTATATATAGATATCACTGACATATGGTGAAAGAAGACATGACTTATAATATTGTGAATTATAAGTTTGAAATTGTAAATCTGCTGTGACCAAGCATTGTGATTAGTACTCATACCTTCTCTGTGTGTGAAAAGGCGTATGCTTAGCACTGGACAGTTATAGGCTGATGAGGATTATTGAAACCAAAATATTACAATGATTGTAACATTTTAGGCAAATTAACAAACCACACATATTCCCTTCATCCACATTGCTATTATTATCAGATGTTTTGTAATCCTGATTATCTATATTACACAACCATATTTAACTAAACAGTGAATACTACTAAAAATGTGATCCAGTTATTTCAGGAATTAATCTGAATAATAAATTATCAGTTCTGCATCAATTGCTTTGATATTCATGCATGCATAGTTTAATATAAGTAGCCACAAAAATTAAGTCATTTTGATAATTATTTATTATGCTTAGCATTTGCTTTTTCCATTTGTAAGAGAATTTGAGTACTTCAGTCCTTTTATGAATTGTATTAAAAACGTTTATGCTATATACTAGCAAATAAAACAGAAATTAGATAATCATAATAAAATGATGAGTACTCATATCTGCAGTTATTATTAAGTGTTAAAAATTATGCAGTTAATATTATACATTTAATCAAAATAATTGTTCCACTGATAAAATCAAAGGAACAATTAGAATCATGAATATGTAATAGATACTGGAACTTATTTAGATCACAAATTGATAAACATAAGCAGAAGACTAATTATATGTATATAATGTACATATAAAAAATTATCTAGTGTGTAATGTTCATTCCATGATACTGTAATCTACTTTATATATAATATAATTATATAAGTTTGAATAAATCAACGAAACACAAGCAACTCCACAATAAATAAATAACATCAGTAGCAAACTATGTATTTAAACCACTCTCTTTACCATTAGAACAACCCTTTTGTATAGTGTAGATAAAACAAATGATAAATTATCTAATTGTTGCTACAATCACAGAAATTATTGTGAGCTTTCAACCAGATGATGGATCAAACAGAGTGGCCTTGGGACTGGTGCCGCTGTCCCCACTGACTAGAGGGTCCCTGTGCAGAATTACCTTGTTGCATCCAAGAGAGGAAGTTGGGTGGAGCAGGCGGCGCAGAAGATGCTGGACCAGCAAATGCGCCCTGCTCAGAGCCACCGGACGGTATGTTGTTGATGAGACCCCAGCCAGCAGCCTGGTTTAGCGCAGCTGCCACTAGAGCCTGATTTACTGGCAATCCTCCCATTCCAAGAGGCATGCTTCCACCTTGAGCCTGCCCACCACCTCCAGCAACTGCAGTTTGACCATGTTGTCCAGATAAACTCAAAGCTTGCATGTTCACCATGTCCATGTTGCGGCTGCTCCATGAGTTGTTGTTTGATGCATTGTGTGGGTGCCCATCTTCATAGTTGCGGCCAGGCATCGTGCGCTGATTAGAACCACTTTTGTTTTGCTTGGGTGATGCATTAGAAACGTTTACAGATACTCCTTTAATAATATGATCTTGACCACAAAGGCTTTGTGCAACCTCAGGATCCAAAAATGTTATAAAGCTGAAGGCTCTAAATGGTTTAGGAATAAACACATCAGTTACTTCCCCAAATTGTGAGAAGTATTCTCTCAAATCATTGGCTGTTAACTCTTCTGTACAGCGGCCAACAAACACTTTACAAGGCATTGATGCAACTGATCCTTCTTTTGAGTTAGGTATCCGAACATCACACCATCTTCCATCAATCATATGCCGCTGAGCAAGCACTCTCATTTGAGAAGTATAAGAAGCAAATCTAATGAAGGCAAAACCTTTCGACATTCCCGTTTTAGGGTCTCTTTTTAATTGCGCCATTAACACTTCACCAAACTTCTCAAAGTATTCACGAACAGTTTGCTCTGTAGCCTTCCATGGCAGCCCCAATACTATCAAATCAGAGCACAGATTGTCATTTCGCTTGTTCTTCGTCGCAGCCGATTCAGAGGTTTCACCCGGTTTACGCTTAGATTCTTTAGGGAAGCTACATATGTATAAATGGTTACCCCATCCTTCAGGGGGTGGGTACAATCTGCCCTCTCTTAATCTGATACCCCTGATGATTTTTGTTTCAGGGTGACGATATTTTAGGCCACAACAGCCCGGAAATTGCGCCGATACGGTAGTTAACATCAACGTACCATCATCTTCGATTGGTAATTCTATGGGTTCTTCATTTTCGTCTTCAGCCACGGGCAAGTACTCGAAGGACATTATTTCTTATTCATGAACAATATTAATAAAAATTGATAAAAATAAACACAGATTTTAAACTTATCACTATACAAATGTACAATTTTTATGTCATATAAATAAATAAAATTAATTAACGTCACCTACGGGTTATGAACCCATTGCAATTTGCAGGTTGAAAACATAGTTCGACAAATAAATTTTGATCTATTGTAGAGGTGGAATCAAAGGGAATTTGTAGAGTTACAAGTGTCAAATAATGGTGATCATACTATAGTAATAGACAACTTTCTAAAATTGACGTTTTACATCACCCCAATGTTGCCAGTTGCCACTCTATAATAAACCAATAGTAAGAATGAAATCGAATCGAATAAACAATAAGTAGAGAGGAGAATAAACTGCACTGCGCGGTCTAACCAGGCAATGATCTAGGACTTTTCAAGCAATCTGTAATGTCAGATTGTATATTGAATATTTTCTGTTATAAGTAGGTATAACAGGAGATATTTAGTTTTTTTTCCAAGATAATTTCAAAGAATTCGGTCGAAAAAGGGTCAGATTCTGCAATAAAATCTAGAGGCCTCTTCGGGTCCACTTTATGAGGCAACGACTCTATGGTACTTCAAAACCTGGGTTGACTGTTTGAAAATTAAAATAAATAAATGCAGAAATTCGTCAGAAAAATAGTGAATGAATTATTGATGTGCTCTTTTCATTATCTTACAAAATTTGATATTGTTTTAAATATATAGTTTAAGGTGAATCTTTTTTTTCAGTCACTGAAATAATTAGCATTCATTTTAATAACAAAGTGTTAATTCTAACATAACCTAAATGTGTTAACAGCAAAAGATTCTTTGATATGTTATAGTTCAAAAACCCTTATTATAATGTTATTGTCATAAATGTTTATTGTATTTAAAATAAGATTGCTATGGATGATGACTCTAAAGAATATAGAAGAAATAAACCACAGCAAAAGTTTTATAAACCAGGTAGTGGACCATTAAGACGATCAAGTTATGGTTTGGACGCTAAAATGGACACAAACGACTTAGACGGAGGTTCCAAAAGCCGAAACCAAAATTATTACGGATCTCAAAACTCCATCGCAGACGATTTAAGCGACTCTTACAGAGGAACGAGTATGCGTCACAAAAAGCCTGAACAACAGCTTTCGGTGCCTCGATCAGGAGATTCTTGCTCTGATAATGGTAGACAATCTAAAGTACCAATGAGGTGTGATAATTCTAGTCAGTACGTCAATAGAAGAATGTCTGATAATCCAGACAGGCAGGGTTCAGGGTCTTATTCTAGAAGTGCTTCCAAAAGAGATAGATCTTTTGCAGACTACCATAACAAAGATGGTACAAATAATGATATTAATTATAATAGACAATACAGACAAGCCTCTGAAACAAGATCCATTTCACCCACACATATGCAAGACCAAAACTCTATAGATAGAAACAGGGATAGCAGAAGTATGGAAACATCAGCAGGACGACACCTCGCGTCTTCTGGAGGTAAACCGCCATCTGGTCGACGTAACTCTTCAGGATATACATCTGATTCATCAAGACTTAAATATATGGTAAATTTAGATAATATACCTCCAAGATTTAGAAAGAAATTTTTAGAACAATCAGGCCATCACAATTTCGACAGTGATCAAATACGTAGAGACAAATATTCTTCAAATCAGTCTGTGCAACCAGTTTATAACCAGGACACTCCATATTACAACATGTCAAACTGGTCCCAAACATTGCCATCAAGAGGCAGAGGACGATTAAGAGACAATGAGGGCTTTGACAGAGAAAAATTTATAAGTACATATTTGAAGAGCTATGATGTGCAAAATTCTAGAAAGTCTACTCCTAGTAGTTCATATCTGAATTTATATGATACAAATTCAGTGGAAAATAAACAGGCCAATGATAAAATAAATACTGGGCCAAGTAGTACAGAGAGTCAAGAATTTCATGATGGTAAGTAGAATCATAATCTGCATTTGAAATAGATTTTCTTTCATGTAGAAATACTAAGGCACGTCTTAAAAAAACATACCTAATTATAATAATAATTATCAGTAACTATTCACAAATGTACTTTTTGGTTAACTAATCCAGTTTAAGTATAGTTACCCTCTTGCTAAACAATTGCCTATTATATTGTTACACAATTTGTATATTACCTATATTAGTTATAAATCTGATAATGTATATATATGTAACATATTTCTATAACTGCATGATTTTGTTTAAAAGTTAGTATTTTATATATACACAGTTTGTATGCCATTTTATATAGTTAGGTACTCCCTATTGTTATCAATCTATTTTTCACACAAGCTGTGTAAATAATAGAAATGTATTAATACAAGTTGGATTTTGCTCATATCTTGTTTTTTATATTTTACCTTATTTAATATTGTATTCTTATAAATTAACTCGTCGAGTACCATATTTATAGACACAATTAAAGAACAATAGGTTGCGGTCACCGGTGACCGCTTGGTGTTTGACAGTTTAAGGTTCAGAAACAACTTTATTCTTTTTTTTTATTAATTATGTATAATTAATACATAATGATGTTGCATTTGAATCTTTAAACATTTATATTTTTATCTACAAATTGTGTCATTTAACTGCCATACAAGTACGTAAAAGTAATTAGTTCAAGTATAAGTTAGTCCTATGTGCCTAATAGGTAATTTGTTTGTTTAATTGTAATTTATAACTGTTTAAAATTACCAATCAAGGTTACTTTTTTGAGTTCTATCTTGCATTTATTAAAAGCTCTAGGTTCTATGCTATAGCTTTTATTTGAAAGAAGTATTAGCAAACTGCATTATTACATTTTATATTTATTAAGTATTTAAGCAAATACGTATAGCGTTTCACATCCCATTCATATCCTAGTTTCAATTATTATGAATAATTTATATTATACTCATCTATTTTAGCGTCACAGAATGGTACAAGCAGTATGGCTAACACTATTTCTAGTAGCCAGCCAGAACATCATAAACAAGAAACAGACAATGAACACGACAGTGAAACTACATCTCAAATCTCAGCAACTTTATTGGATATTTCTAATTTGGTAATTATTTCTCTCTAAATGTATAATATTTTGTTTACCATGGTAGTTTTATCTCTCAAGTTAATGCTACCTCTCGATTAATAAGGTGAGAGCTGAATACCCTGTTTATTGGAGCCAAGTCCATAACCGTCACTGATCTATACCTGTATAATAATTCTAAACAGAATCTTCAATAGACCCTGTTATAGATACTAAACAAGTACATGTTATAAAACGAAATGGGGGACTTCCCATTTTTTATAAATTGAAAGAAGTTAACATCAACTTTGGCTATGTATAGATAAAGGAAAGCCGAAATTATTTTAATTTTATTTCTTAGTCAATACCTGTTAATAGCAAATAATAAGTGACTTCTATGTATTTTAAGGACTGGACAGAAGAAGTAGAAAAGAATATAAAACTAGATGACATGGGTGATTCTTCAACTAGTTTTTCACAAAATTTGAAGAAGTCTGTTCAAGATGATGTGAAGCCTGCTGAACCTCGTGAGTCGAAACGAAGTGGAAGATCGCGACGTAAAGATCGAAGGTAACTTCAATTATTTTTATTTAATTTATTAAACAGTACAACATTATGCAGAATACTGGTCTCAACTTTCAAGTTCATAAATGTTGCAAGTTAATAAAGTAAACTTTGTGTTATTTAAATTTATTTCTTGTGTCTATTCAGTCAGATATATTTGTTTTATTTGAAAACTTTTACGTTTATGCTATGCTAAAATTGCTGTAGAATTCAATACAAAATAAATCAAGTAAATTAAAATAACTATTTGAATTACAGAAGTTCAAGTAGAGGCCTTAGAAAAGAGTCCGAAAAGAAAGTTGAGCGCAATAGAAAGGATAGTACAGCGAGCATTCAGCATGAGCCAGAGAGGGCTAGGAAGGACAGCAATGTCAGCATTCAGCATGAGACCGTGCACTCGGGACTGAAGCAGAGAGAACGCGAGAGACGAGACAGTCACAAGAGTAATCGTTCTTCTACCATCGGAAATAGTAGAGACGACTTGGATCGCTGGAGGTCGTTACGTTCTTACAGTAGAGAACAAAGCACTGAAGGGTAAGAAATTAACCCTTTAATTTTACCAGCCCTTGTTTATTCATATTGCAGAAATAATTTTCTTAAGCTACATACATTTGACATACTGAATATCATTTGGATTTATAAAAAAGTATATTGATATTGTAGGAAATGTTTCTGTGACTTTAGAAGGCCTTATAATACCTATTGGTAAATTTTGTATTACAGGAGAATAGTTTCGCAATGTAACAGTCGAGACACGTCGGCTAACCGTGCTACTAGCCCGAGAGATCATGATGGTTTTAGGATTCCATCATCCATGTCAAAATCAGCAGCATGGCTATCAACAAATCCGGTACGCAATGTTAACAAAATAATAGTTGTGTTTGACTAGTAATATTGTTTTAAAAAAGTATTGAAATCACACAATACTTTACTTCGTTGGTTTGGTGTAGATACCTATCTATATCGTGAAATTTGTTCTAGAAGAAAAGCAACGGTTCCTGGGCTAACGGTCGTACTTCAAGCGTGGAGCGTGGTCGACAGTCGCCTGCACCGAGTCACGCCAGTGTAAGCACTGCGCCTGCTCCCGAAGGCGGCTCAGGACGACGTTCTCGTAAGCGCGCTGGTCGTCGCACTACGGAAAATAGAGGTTCGTCGAAACTCTTCTTAAACAGGGTGAAATTGGAGCTATTCATATTAACCTTCCAGATAACTACTGCGATTATAGGGAAGTAAGACATTTATAATATTTCTTTATAAATACTTGTCTTCCGGCGGACGACCATGATGAACATTAATGATGTGATGAAAATCTATAACAATTTGTAGAGCGACGCCGTGGAAGAAACGCCGAAGCTCAACAGCCACAGCAGCAACATTCACAGAGCTCTCAGCACGCGCCGTCTGTGACGGCAGCCCCTGCCGCGTCACACGGTTCCAGTTCTGGGACTCTGAACTGGAGAGAAGAAATACTAGAATCCAAGAAAATGAACTCTCATGAAAAGTAAGACAATTGTGCAAATAATTTCGTTACCAAATCTTGTCCTTACTACTTTTAAAATACTATACACAGTATTTTGCGCCAGTATTTTTATCAATCTTATTCATCTATTGTAGACATCCAGAGACCAACTCGCGCAATAAGGCTGCAGTGGACTCATCCTCATCACACCCTGGTTTAATCATGCTGCCACAAGCATCAATAACACATATGCAAAAAGACTTGGGGTAAGTTCCATCACCTAATTAAAACATTATAATGGGGTAACTACTGTTAAATTGCGACATTTTGACTGATTTGTAACATTTTGACTTTCAGGAGGGGAGGTTCAGTAGAAACTCAAAAGACTTTGTTTGATCATCAAAATCCATCCAAACCTATAATTGTACAAACTAGTCCCTCTAAAATAGACATAAGAATGGAGAGAGGTACGTGATTTAATGCTAATTTATACATTATCGGTGGTGGTGAATCTGAATGACTTTAGTCCTACATAAAAACACTTTAATACGCGTAAAAAGAACTTTGCATATAAAATGAAACAAATCGCAAAGTGAGATCGGCCGGTATTGTAAGGTCGAATGAAAACTTCAAGAAATAATTGAAGAACTTAATACAATACAAACAAGACATTTGATTTGTACCTAACAGTTTTATTTTTCTGATAGTGACGTTGTTTTTATAGTACATAAAATTCGTTCGCGATATTTTTCAGAGCATTGGGAAGCTATTTATAACACTTTCGGATCTATACATTCACGCCCACTTGCTAAATTCGCTGTTTATTCTTAAACTAAACAATCATAAAACAAAAGCGACTCGTTTTATTTTGATCAGATCTGTCGTATCAGTCTTGTATTTAGATCATCTAATGTGCAGTATTCTTTCCACAAGTAGACCAGATAATTATAGAATTAGTGAACATGATGAGAGTACAAATAATTTAAGATATGATTATTTTATGTTTTTGAAATTTTATGTTTCTTTCATTAACTGTGAAAAATATTGTTATAGAATTTTTATTTCAAATACTTATAGTTATAAATTGTTCAATCTGAACAAGAAATTTGTCCGTCAGGAATAAAAGAGAGTTCGTCTCGCGGTAACGCTGGATACGAGGCCAATGACGCGGCACGAGCAGTGCGACACCGCGCCCTGCTACAAGAGGTGGACCGTGCTGACGTCATTCTACAGACACACATTCTAAGAGGACCTTTAGGCTTAGCTGATCATTGGCCTGACGTCACTGAAACCAGGTAACCATCTAAAATTATAGATTCTATAATATTGAAACAAAACGGAACACAATTTTTCAACAATAATTTTATACTTTCAGAGCTTTTCTGCAAAATGCTCTTCAAAGACTTCTCATGTCTGATCTCAAGTACTGCCAAGCAGACAATATCGAACATCATTTTTGGAAGATTTTGTACTACAACTTTATAGAACCATTAAGAAAAAGTTTTACCCAAATGACGCCTGAAGATAAGCCGAAGATAGTGAAACTGATTAATGTTATAATCGAAGAAGGAAACACATTTTTCGAAAATTTAATTCAAATGTTGGAGAAAACTTATAAGTTTAATGTGGACGATTACATAAATGACAATCATGTCTTACCTCCCAAAGGTCTTGGGTATGTGGGTTTGGCTTTAATATCAGTTCAAAAGATATACGTTTTTTTGGGGGATTTAGCGCGATATAAGGAACAAGTGAATGAGACAAATAATTATGCTAAGAGTAAATTTTGGTACACAAAAGCTCAACAAATCAATCCTAAGAATGGCAGACCATACAATCAGTTAGCTATATTAGCGATATATGCGGTGAGTATTCATTATAATCGTGCATAGTCAACTAAATACTGAACTGAATTAAATTACAATGTTTTAAATATATGTCTTGGTTTCAGAGAAGAAAATTAGATGCAGTATATTATTATATGCGAAGTCTAATGTCGTCCAACCCTTTTCATTCAGCACGAGAGAGTTTGTTATCACTTTTTGACGAAAATAGAAAAAAGGTAATTTAATTTTGTGTTACTCATTAATATTATAAACATAGTCTTGAAAAATAATGCTAATTTGTGTTGTGTATTTAGTATGAGGCAGCAGAACGCAAGCGTCGAGCTGCGCTGGAGGCGACCAAGAACAATGATGCCGCGGCTTCTGGAGGCACCAGCAATAACAGTGTAGTAGAAGGTACACCCGGCATGAAGAGAGAAGTATGGGTGCGACCCAGTGGACACAGGACCACTACCTTCCGACCAGCATCTAGGGACGAACAACTTGCTTCTATGACTTCAGTTGAGGTAAATACTTACCTAAGTCTAACTTCTTATTATGCGGGACTCATAACTTATCTAACTGGTAGGAATTGAGTGTTCCCTTTAATGTTTTGATCTCTACCTTTTGACCCCTTCAAGGATTATAAGGCATATAAACTTTACAATTACTATTTTATAAGTTTTGTTAAGATTTAAATCAAAATAAAATGTCTCGTAACATATGGTTTGTTCTTTGTTACAGCTCAACAAAAATTTCATTACCAGTTATTTACACGTTCATGGGAAACTCATCACTAAAATAGGGTAAGTGTTGTTCTATTTTATTATCTTTGACTATTGATTATCTATTGACATTTTATGTGTCGTGGCTATATCGAAGTATTGCTCTTTTCTTGAAATGACCGAGCTTTTGCACGATATCATAAATGTTAATGATTTACGATGTGATTACGATATAAATTTATTTGACCACGGCATTATGTACGACAATTACATATTATTTACAAATATAACGTTCCTACTTTAATTTTGCTCGTAATTGGATAAATTGAGAGCAAAATTTAATAATTCATATGTGTACTCATAAAATTATTTCTAATTAGAATGGAGACCTTTTACGAGAGTGCGAGTTTGATGCTGCGTCAGTTCCGTGCCCTGCTTCATCGCCAGCCACTGCCAACTCCTGCCGCCCGACTATTGCAACTGACAGCACTCAATATGTTCGCAGTGGAAACCACCGCCGCATCACTAAAAGGTAAGTCTACTATTTAGTAAAATAGGCTGTGTCACCTTCTGAACTGGGAACTTTTACATAAGAACAGTTTGCCATAAATAACACTTTCGGCGTTTACGATATCGCAATTTTAAAGGTTCATGGTTATCAGACAACACTGCAACATCGATCTCTGTTAAATGTGTAGTCCGTTACCCTGCTGATGGCAAACCATCACCCAACAACAAACCAAAATATTTAAAAGTAATAGCTTCTTTCTATATTATGTCCATTATGATTTAAATCCCATGCGGGTGAAGAGTCCAAATTCTGTGTAATCAATTTTTTATCAAAATTTCAACTTGCTTTCTTGTACTGTTGGATGAGTATTATAAGAACATTTGATACGCCGACATGAAGTCAGGCTTAGTGACGACATAGGTAAATGCATAAAAATTTACATGACAGAAGTTAGAGGTATTTTATAGATATACAAACAGATCACTTCATAGTAATAGTAAACCTAAACTTATTTCGTGACGTATTACTTATCTCTTCCGGGAATAACAGGTGTGATGATAAATTATATATATATATACACCTATATAGTATGTAATAAGTTCCTTATTTACCATGAAATTTATATTATATCTCTGATATATGAGTATTTCGAGACTATATTTTGCTGTTGGTCGATATTTTATCATGCAAAACGGGTATCGTAAAGTAAGTCGTTATGAGATACGTGTATTGCAGCAGTTCTCGATTCTCGATGGCTTTGCGTTTTGATCTCTGACAGAATTTAAATGTTAGTGTAAACTTGTTTCGTGCCATGAATGCTACTGCCCACTTCAAAGAGCACAAATATGTTAATAATTTGATCGCATCTGTTTCATATTTTATAACTTGCGTTTACCAGTGGCTTCGCTCGCATTATCAGGATGAAAAGTAGCCTATATGTAAAACCAGATTTAAATCATTGTGCGCACAATTTCATGTATATCTGTACAATAGTCTCGGCGTGAAAGACTAACTTTCGCATGCTTGCTATGTGTGTTATAACTGATAGGTCATACTTGAAAAGGGAATGCGTTTATTGTAACTTTAATATTTGTCTAGACATTATCCTAAAATTCCTCTTTCGAAATTACAATTCAATATAGACGAAAAGACCCTCTAAATTATCATTCCCCTAATGTGGATTTTTGAAACCGGAGGATGGGTATTTCTTACGGAAATACTTGTACTTTAGAATCGTAATGATAAAATACCGTTAAAAATGTAGAAACAAGTTTATTAAAATGAATTTTATTATTGTATTATTGTTGAATTTAATTCAAAATATTATTTATTCAAGATCATGATAGATATGTGGTATAAAATATAGCGGAATTTGTTAAACGTTTTTGCTCAAAGCTGTTACTAATAAACTATCACACGAGATCAATTTCATTATGTCTTATATTTTGTTTTATGAAGTATGGGGGTTTTAGTAATCTGCTAAGAATGCGTAAACGGTCATTGACTGCGCTACCTTCTGCGTAGGGATTGCATTTTAATGTTTGTTAATTAAATAAAGGTCGATTGTTAGGAATAATATAGGTATAGATCTTCAAACACTCATTGAAAAATACTTTAATGTCGTCGCTTTAAATTAATTGAATAATTTTGATGGCCATCTTGGACTTTCTTAATTATTTATTTTAATCTTCTAACCGTTAAGTCACACATAAAACTGGTCGGCCAAAGCCATTAAAAATAAACGCTTTTGCTACTCAAGGGGGGAGGGTTATGTTAAGTAGCGGTTCAAGGGTCTAATACCAGGATCTTGGTTCGTTCCTATTTCTAGGATCCTATAATTATCACTTGAAGCGGATCACGTCAATCAATCATGGCAGGCAGGAGTATCAGCCAAGTTGTTAGCTATTATGCTTAAAATATTGTACTAAGCTTAACTTTAATGGTACGAAATAACGAATACCACAAATAAATGAACGTATATAAAATTATCAGTTATCTAATTTCGAGTAATAAATGTTTAATTTTTAATGTACAATAAAACGATGGAAACATTTTTAGTAAAATTGCAAAATGAAAATCGTTGCATTAGCAATTATCAAGTTTGTAATAAAACGCAATACGTACATAGAAATGATAATGATGACGTTTTAACTGCCGTCCTTCATTGGGAGTCTTTAAGTTCAATTAAAACCTGCGCGATATGAGCACAGGCACAACATAACGGAGAATCCGGCATGACAGCATCTTTAATTGCACTGAATAGGAGTAATAGTCACGCGTTCGTGCCGATAAGAAATAAGAAGCATTTAATATGGTCAAAGGATTTTACTATGGCTCGGACTGACATATTTATTATACGGAATACTGAGTCAGGGATGTTTCGCGTCTATGTCATCGTCTCATTAAATCCAAAACAGGTGCACTGGAGTTTGTTTACATTTTAGAGGTTTATTTAATAACCTTAAAAATTCCTACTTTTATTTAAAATAAGAAAAATCCAACGAATACCTTCTCGTAGTTTAGAAAACCTCTTAACTTAATAAAGTTATTGCTCAACTTAATAAAAGTGCTGTAAAAGTATTTAATGAAGTGCTTGGGTCATCAGTTGATTTTATAATAAATATAAATATATTATTGTAAAGGATTTTATACCGCAAACTTAATTGAACAAAAAAAATATAAGTGTTTGCAATTACAAGTCCGACGAATTAATCATTTTAATAAATGGATCGGGTTTTTACAACTAGTTTAACTTTTTTCGTCTCTATTTCAATGAAATATTAAGCGTCAGGGGTATTTTCGTTTAATTAATTTATGAATTATTTTAGGACGTACATATTTCTATTTGGGTACCGCTCATAGATGGAAACTGGTATGACAGCTACTGAATCATAAAAAATTATCTTGCAAATATGTTACTAAAAGCTACGTAAAACAGCGTTCTTGCCATTAAAGATTTTAATGTACTTTTATTATATTTCTGTAAATATCTTTTTATAATGACATACATTATGTCGGTAACACTATTGTAACTGTTTTTTATCTTACAGAATCTATAGAGCTTATATTGAGGACGGTTACTTAATATCTATATTAATTAAATATTTTATATAAAACAGCTACAAATGTAGCTTATCACTGTACTGTGAGCATGTCATTTAGAACAAAAATGAAAATGGTTACATAGGACTGTAATAGTAGGAATACACGTATTCGATTTACGAAATTAATATATAACGTGAGCTGTAAACGTGGCTATTTCCTGTGGCTCCGTCCGGGCGCAGTAAAGGTTTGTAATTACAAATTACAAGTTATTGGAGGTTGATGCACTGCACTCCGTCGCCGCCGCGCCGCCTGCGCCCGCGCACCGCACAAATGCACACATTTGATGGCGACAGGTTCAACAAACTGACTCGGCATCGGCACGGTGACGACCACTCTTTTACGCCATTACTCGTAATGATGTTTTGAATTATTATAGAAAAATTATGGCGTTCAAGACCCTTAATTATGACGTTCGGCAAGACGATGCCCTTTGGCAGCACACGGGACGGCCAAAGTTCCTGGAAAGATAAATGAGATAGCGTTTTGTAAGAACAAAAATACCAAACATAAATCAGGTGGAACATAGATTTTGGATTGCGATAAAATTTCTTCTTTCCTCGGTGTATTTCATATGTATTCTTGGTTTACAATGGGGACGCGGTCGACCGAGTAAATGGATAGTGGTCTTCATAGACGTGCAAGAAGTAGGTAAACATTATGTAGAAAACCATCTATTGCAAGAATGTGGATTTCATTTAAATAGTTGACATACAGAAAGACCTTTTATCTGCGCCCTTGTGCTGTGTAATATATTGCTACACCTGAATTTATTATGACACACGTAACGAATTTTACATGCAAGGCAAGGTATTTCTGTGCGCCTGTTTATCCAGGTATTTGTTAAGCAGTATAGTAGGTGTTTTGCGTTTGCAGGTGCAATCCGTGCTGCGTATTTTTAGACGACTATTTATATCGGACCGGCTTTAAGCGACCGATGAGCTGTCGGTGGATGATCCAATGACGACGAGTTTTTATCACTATTCATGCGTGTAGCTTTGTTTCTGTAATACTACATATGATATGAAAAATTAATATCAGCATCGATTTACAATAAAGAAGAAAAACAATACTTATACGGTCGCATTAATGCAGCGAAACGAACACATTTTCAATTATGTTGGATGAAGTTTGTCGTCTCTTGTGGGGTTTTGTGGTTAAGTTGGTGGTTCTGCTCAACGAGTTAGTCACACGGAAAGCTATCATACTTTGTTAGTTGTTATCCAAATAAATGTATGATCCGAAGATGTGAGGAAAATATTGTTTCGGGTCACGTTCGTTTTATTTCGAAGCTGTACCCGTGTTGATTACGGAGAAGCAATGATTCAACAGGTAGCTGGTTCCGGTTGGTCCTGATCGTTTACTGATTAATGCAAACTGCTTTGTGTGAGGTGGTTGAGACTCACGATTGTATGCACATACATGATTATATGTATTTGCTTGTAAAAATAAACTGGCTGCCGATTATTCTAAATAAATATTGTAGTACTTTATGTTTTAAGAAAATATTTGAGTAAAACTTATGCTGAAATATTTAATTGAGTCGATGAACTTGATTTGCTGGTTATTAGAGGACAAGTACACATGTCTAGTTGTATTCTAAATAAATTTTGCCATAAAAACGTAAACATGAGATAACAAAATATTACACATATTTGAGAGGTAAAGTGCTCTCTGTTGTTATTAGATCCACTTAATGAAAATAATTTAAACAGGAATAATTGGCGTTCGTGTTGAAGATGTTTTGATAAAGATGATGTATGATCGTACGGCAGAGGGCAATAGCGGAGAGCGGTCGGCGTGGTTGGAGTGCGCGCTGGGCGTGTCCCTGCTGATGTTCGGTGCGATGCTGGAGCGATGTTGCGCGCTGCTGCCGGAAGCGCCGCAGTCCCAGCACCACACCGACGCCTTGCTACTATTGCCGGCTATCAAGGTACCACGCACTGCACGCTCGCTAATAAACTTATCAGAGCCTCTATCTATAGCTTATTTACTTAGTTCAAATCGTTAATTACGAAAACAGTCCCACGTAGCAGAAAATTAATCAAATATAAACAAACTCAGATTTAAATTCGCAACTTTACTTTAGAAGAGAATTTTAATAATGATTGCTCCAAAACGATGCATTCCAATATGGTCCTAATATATCGCTGATACGGTATCGCCTAGCCACAACAGTCAAATCGAAATAGCGCCTTTTGATTTGTGGGTTACTGTAATACCGAGTACCAGATCTTGTTTTTTTTTTTCCTCAAACGTTTAGAGAAGTACAGTTAAGAAGCACCAATTACTTCGGCGCTTTGGTGTAACGTGTAATTAAGATAATAGCTACGTGCGCGTTAATTTGATAATAATTTATTAAATGTAATCGTTTCATAATAGTTATTTATATTTAAAGGTGTGGTCAGACTGGATGTTATGCCACAGTAGTATATGGAATCCACCACCATCATTTGACAGTTTTGACATTGGGTAAGTTTCTTATATCACCGTTATTTTACCTATATTAATAAACAAATGATTTTTAACTGTTTTTTTTGTTTAGAGCCGACAACGACCCGTGGGATTGGCTTGCGAAGCTTATGAACATATTAGAAGCTCTCGATGACAAGTCGATAGAATTCGAAAACGAAATGAAAGAAGGTGAGATTCCATTGTTATTTGTTTACACTACGGACACTGGACAGGTTGCCTTATTGGGTCGCTTGCTCAGCTTGTTCAATGTCTGTAAGAAGACAGTTTTTTTATATTTCTTATTTGTCATTCTCATTGGCATTGTAACACTAAGTTGTCATCAAATACTTGAACGTTAACGTGAGTTTTTACTCTGTTTAAGGATGCAGTGTAATTGTACCAGTCGTTTCTTTTCATTTCATTGATAAGTGTTTGGTATTATACATTTTTTACCTTTATTCTAGACTAGATAAATATTTCTTAGTGCCCTAATATGGGTAAAGACTGCCTTGTATAAGTAAACGACGCAGGTACAAAATTACTCTTTGTTTTGTCAAGCGTGCCGATTGATAGCCAAGCTTCGCTGTAATTATGCATTACCACAGTGAACATTAAAAGCATTCGTACATTGTTGGCATAAAAGTAACTTCTAATTACCGCGATACATAATTCCCGTCACTCTAATAGCTTCGCTAGTATCAATGTACCTATCTCGTGTTGCGGGCGCCGTGGGTTCCGGAGATCCCATAAGGATAAAGAGAACGATAGTGCATGTTTATAACTAGTATATCACCTCTGCCCGGCGCCTGTACTTTACCAAGCTAAACTGAAACTCGATATTACATAAATATACCGATTTATGTAACAAAACAAAGCTATTAAAATAATTTGTATCACACTTTTTGTTTAACTTGATCTTAACATGTTGTTCTCGGTATTCAGGAGTCTAGAACTTTGAGGTATTTTCTCATTAATATAGGTCTCATTAATTCAGTTTTTTGGGAAACTTGAAACAAATTCAATATCATGGTGGAAATATACGAAATACTAATGTGTACGTGTACGTAAGGTTACGTGTGCGTGCGTCTGCCGGAGGACGCGTCTCTGGGCGGGTTCACGCCGCTGATGTACATGGAGCCGGCCGTGGCCTGGGTGCGCGCCGACCAACTGGGACAACACCACGCCGCAGAACACGCGCTCAGAATCACCAAGCTACTGTTCTTCGGCACTGAGTGAGTCCACTGTACATTCTATCTATTAGCTACTTGCATACTTATAGCAACTATGAGAATACTGCGGTGGCAAGATGGTGAACCAGCTTGCTACGTTTGATGGGTGTGTGGAATATTTGTTTCCGAATGAATTTAAATTCTACGACGGAGCAATGTTTTTGTATAAAAATGATCACCATGATCATTTTGAGTGATCAACTCAAAACTTGTTGTTTAAATGTTTTCATGAGATTCCACTTAGTGCTTATAAAAACTAATAAATGTCATAAATGTCAATCGATTGGGTTTTTAAAGTTTATGTACAGTTACAGACGTCGTGAAACTTTATAGCGGTTCCAAGCTTCTTAACTTGGGTTTAGGTAGCGTACTTAAGTACACTTTGAACATATAGGTGGTGTTTTATTGTTTATTAGGTTGGCATAGGTTTCAGTATCAGAGGGTAAAGATGTTCGTTTAAAAGTGTTTTATATTGAAAAAGGGTATTTAAGGTTCTTAGAACTTACAGAACATGGCGGACACAGATAGGTAGATATTTCGAGCACCGGTTAGTATATCAAGAATGTTAGAATATGTAGAATGTTTAAATAATGTAGAATAAAAATAATAAATTGAAATTCCTTATCATCAGCCCCTTTTCTTCAAAACTTATGTAGGTCTCTCTAATAGCACGCCCAACAAATTCAATGTCTTTGTATCCATTTTGATTTATTCATTGCAGAGAATATATCGATATTCTCTCCGTACCGTACGGCAAATTAAATTGCTGCGCCCTACTAACAGGGTAATGTACTGAATTCGTTGTATGTAATACTTCTTATTATATGTACATTGTGCTATATGAATAAATAAATAAACAAATTGTCGACTTTGCCTAGTTTTAAAGCACTCAATGTCTCAATGAAACCCTTTTAACATGACAATGTGTTGATAAACAGGTATTTAGTGGGCGTGGAGCCCCCGGTGCTAAAGTTGGAGTGTCCGGCGGACGCGTCGCCGAGATACGTCAGCGCCGTGCAACGAGCGCAGCCACTGCATGCACCACTGCAACAACTGGTAAGTAACTAGTTTATATTATGCAATGATTTTAGTAGTGAATATCATTATTTAAATCTCATATAATCAATTCAAAGTGTCTTCAGAAGCAGCTTTTAATCGACTTCAAAAATATAACAAGATTTTCAGTTTGACCTGTATGTGCAGTTGCATCATTGTCCGCGTTTGTCTTTTATTCCGCCTCTTTCTGTTATCGTATGTTATCGCAGTTATAGACACCATTTTATGGTAGCTTGGAATAAAAGTAACATAATATTTTAAAAGTCTATTTCTTATCATTAAGAATATTTGAAAAAAGTGCAATAAAAAAGTTACAACTTATTACATGAAATTACATTAAATAAGTATTTAGAGTAAGTGATTCTAAGTGTCGACTTATATTCCCCGTTACCAGTAATTTGCAATGCGATACTCGTTAATTGTTGGTAACGAGAATTATGTTTTATAGTGCCTATAAAGTATATTTACATAATAATATGTGTTAATCCTGTCGATTATAAAGCCAATTAATTTATGATATAACTCCTGCCTCGTGTATCTTGCTAAAATGAGCTTCTTCTTCCTCACTTTTTAGTGATTCCAAGCCCAATAGTTGTATTATTTTGGTTTTAGTCTGAAAATTCTGAGGATGAAAGCAATACAAGTGGTGGTGCTAGCGAGGCGCCCAGTCACAGCGAGGGAGTCGAGGCAGAGGGGACCGACGAAACGACACGCAAACTCCTGCGCCGCAAGGAACAACTCGAGACTAGGAAGGCTACGATTGAGAAACATCGCCAACGTATGCAGGTATGCTTACTACATACTTATATTAATTAACAAGTTTATTTTTACATACCTGCAGGACCTGAAATGTTGTACAACATAAACACGGTAGAGGAAAAGTTCTTGAGAAAACGTAAACTTATTTTATATTATAAGTCTGAAATCGCTAATTCGCCTTGAGCAAAATTGAGCAATTTTCCTTCCTTGTTTGTAAGATATCGGTTTTATCTCAGACAGTTTATATACTATATTAAGTTTATTTAAAGTTTATTTTATAACTTTACAATAATATATTTGTTTATAGGAAATATTGAAAGGAGGTTCTGAAATTGAAGTTCGACCTCGATGGTTAGTGCCGGACACAAACTGCTTCATCGATCACCTGGAATTGCTACAGGCCATTGTAGCTGCGCCAGCGCAACCTTACACCTTAGCTGTGCCTGTTGTGGGTAAGTAACTAGTTGGCAACAAACACTCAGCCAGTCAGCAAACAATATCAGATATCAGTTTTATTGTATCTTGAAGTCTCAAATTAGCTACAGAAAAACGTATTTAACGTATTCTTAACATTTTTACTGTAATGGAAATGAATGACCTGAAAGTGCTAAAAGTTAATGTAGGATGGATAGCCTCTAAATTTTCTGTGAATGTTTAGCAAGCCTTTCTTTCTTTTTGTTTAGTATGTGATGGAAATATATAATCTTATTCTTCTAGGTGTCTTAGACATAGTTACATGATTTAGGGCTGAGTTTGTAAACAGTAGTATTGGAAATTGTGATATGTTTGCAGTAATGACGGAGCTAGAAGGCCTACGCCTGAGTGGGCGGGTGGGCTCTGCGGCGCGGTCGGCGTTGAGTTGGGTGGGCGGCGCGGGCGCGGCGCTGCGCCTGGCCACGTCGCGCGGCTCGCTGCTGGCCACGCGCGCCTGCACGGCCGAGGCGGCGCCCGGGCCCGCCACCAACGACGACCGAGTCCTGGCCACAGCACTCAGTCTACACAACAACGTCGCCGCCGCTGCTGATAATGGTCCCTATGTTTTTAAACACCCCACACTATATACTCGATTTCATTTGAAGAATACTGAGACTTGGTAGTTTATATTTAAAATAATTATCACAACTCTAAGACTTACAAAGTTACAATGTATACTCTTCCCAAATAAAATAGAGTATAGGAGTCTGTCCTGGGTTATAAGTACGTTTACAAATATACATATCACACCCAAGTACGGGTGCCTCATTCTAAATCCCAGTTTGGACTACGCTAGTATTTTAGTCGAGTAGCGAGTGATCTAGTAGCTAACCGTGTCAGAACAAAGAAAATTCACTACACTTGGTTCTTAGAAGTATTTTTACTTTATTACGCTAGAGGCTATTTATCCTAAAAACACTACTTGTACACTATTTTCGACTGAAGTGCGAGCGATTTTGGTACAAAAGCGAGTATTTTAGGTAATAAATTACTCGCTACTCGACTAAAACATTGGTGTAGTGCGAACTAGGCGTCTCACGTCCACAAAATATCACTCATGCTCTTCTTCAACCTATGACATTGTTGAGTAAATATTTTCGTAAGTCACGCCATCTTTACCACTGCTTATAGATCTTATAATCGAGCAAATACAATTCATTACCAGCTTGTCTGATTTTAGTTTCAGAAGGAAATTGGTTCCAGTAACCTAATGTCATGTAAAATACATTAATGAATTTGTTCTTGTTGCTAGTATCCATTGTTATGTACAAGAAATTGTGCATGAATGACATGCACACTGTTTACTATTTTGCACACAAAATACCAAAACAAATGACGATAATATGGTCAGCTATTGCAAAATAAAAATAAAACCGATACCTTAATGGTTGTTAACTATATATACTTAATAAATATCTCTTTAATAATTTTCTTCACAATCCTGATGACATTAGAAGTTAATATAAAACGACTGCCATAAAATTTCTTAAGTATGTGGTTAATTTCATATTCCAGAGTGCTTGGAAACTGAGTTGTGCATTTTTATCGATATACTTCCCACACTACAGATACGCAACGGAAAACGTAAAACAAATATTGCACTATAAAATTATCGTAAATGTTACTTGTACAGCAGATATGTGAATAAGTCCATATATACTGCTAAAACTAAATTACATATTAACGGGACGGCAATTAAGTCATCAGGCAACAGTAATATTTGGTTAAACACGACGTAGTTGTTAAAGTAATCTCATTGTAATAATGTACAAATGGGTAATTACATCATCGTTACATTTTCTAAGAGTTTTTATTTCTTCTTCACATCATTATTGGTTGAGTGTGCGACAAATGTCACGTTTATGATAGGGCAATTTTTCTGTGTTTGTGGTAAGTGATATTAAATGAATTTGTATCGCATCGAGCAGCCTTCAAAATGCGTGTGAGAAAACGTGCGGTCGGCGCGTGTCGGACCGGTAGATGTGTCGCTGTCGACCTACTCCGCGCCCGGCGGTAGCGGCCTGGTACTACATATCTCAGCTCGCGTGGACGGTGATTTTATCTGCACTGGCGCCGCCGATTATTTGTTTTAATGATGCTTCCTTAGTAGCATTCCGATACGCGACAAAATTGTACCAGCGTCTGTATCGTGTAGCTCCGTGTCGTGTTATCGAGCGATTCGAACTGAACTTATGTCGTGCAATGTTACAGATTCCCGCGGAGACGACGGCAGAGAGGCGCCGAAGGTAGCGCGGCGCGTGCGCGAGGTGGTGCTGCTGACGGACGACCGCAACCTGCGCGTCAAGGCACTCGCCGCCGAGCTACCCACGCGGGACCTGCCCTCCTTCGTGCACTGGGCTGGCTTGATCAAGGATGATGCTGCGGTACGTTTACGTTAATTAACTGGGTAATATATACATAGATAAAGAGTACCTTCAGTGCAATTATAGTAGAGTAATTATCTAGGACCCTGTGATTATCGTTAATGGGTAACAAGGTAGCAGGTATACAGTTATGATTGCACGTTGCAGAGTACGGAGGCGGGCGCGGGCGAGGAGAGCGCGGGAGCACGCAAGTGACGTGCGTACGGCCGCAGTGACGACAGTTTAGCTCATATTCTGATTTACTTTATTATTAACCTGAATGCGAGGTGACTTAATATTGCAAAGATAATAGTGCTTAATAAAGATAATAGCATTCTGCCCGGGTGCATGCGCGCTGTATGGATCTGAGGTAATGATTGCGCCTCATTATAGTATAGGAATTGAATAGATTAAGTAAAATTAAATACACCAATAGAAGGTTAAAATATTAATAGATTTTGTTAAGAGCTTTAGGATTCCACCTCCGTGTTCCTGGGCTACATTTACTTTGTTATTTTTTTACGTATTTTCCGTTTTATTTGTAAGGTATTAGATAAATCGGAAATTCAGTGTTGCTGAGCTATTTTTATTTACTTTTTTTTTGTAATATAGCAACTATATTTTTTATTATTTTCTAGTTAGGTGATAGTAACAAAATGTATGGTATTACCTATCTCTAACATCAAGTACAGGACGCATAGCATGTAATATGATTTGTATACAATGTTATCAACTGATCCAATTATGATAATTAATTGACTGCATGTCTACATATATTTGATTTTTAGAAATTATGATTTTAAATGAATTTAAGTACATTATATAATACCTATAATATTTTTGCATGATTTCATCGAAATGCCATGTGCCATTCATTGCTCTTGTTAAGCGGCTCAATGCGTGTTGCCTTTTCCTTCTATACAATATAATTATTATATCGACAGCGACTTTTAGCTAGACACGTTTTCTTACCGCTTAACACTTTTTTATATTTGGAGTGAGCAACCGCATCATGATAATTTTTATAATAAAATGTAGTACAAAATGTTTGACATTACAAGGACACTTGGTGTTTTTACTCAGGTTTGTATAGAACTAGTATAGACGACACAGCAAATATTTCATCACTTATATAATTATGCATTATCAGCATCAAAATGTGTATTTTCAAAATGCAATGAAACGCTCGAATAGTTTCATTTATTTTGCTAGATAAGTTTTGTATTCCTGATAGAGGTGCGTGTTTGCAGTACCTACAAGTTAGGCGAGCGTTTACTGCGGAAGCACGATATATAGGAGTCAGTTTGTCGGGTATCTTAAAAATCCTATTAAAAATTTGTAACGATTATTTTGGTGCACCTTGCAACCAAATGATTGGCACCTTCACCTATATAACAGGTTATCCTTATACATGTAGATAAAACGTATTGTGTATAAACAGATTTTTAATGATAACTATATGGTTAACAATTATTGTAACAAAGTTTTTCATTTTTGAAACATTTGATGCTGTTACTTTTGTCTTGATCATGACGTTTTAATTAAACATTGAATTACTTCAATATAACGTGTTTTGTATTTTTTTCCTTTACCGTAAGTGCAATTCGTGTGTACAGTTGCATGATTCTGTGAATGTTTGAGCAAATAAAAATACAAAGGAGTTACTAACACGTAAAGGTCGTGTTAAATTTTATTCTAAAGAAATCTTACGTCTCGTGTGATGGATTGTAAACATCACTTCGTCGATTGTGTTTTAGGTATTCACGGATTTAAATAATCGATAAAATGATAACCTTCAGCTATTCAAATTTTTATAAAAGAGCTATAACAGCTATTATCTTTTGAATTTTGCAGTCGTGTTATTTAACGGATCGTTTGTTTGTACAAGTTATTATACTATGTCTATAAATTCATTCTAGATATTATTTTTGCTACGACAGTCGTTTGGTATACTTGTATGATTAGAATATGCAAATAGCAAACTGTTTCTAGCTTCATCCGCCCCTATGACAGGCACGCGGCACCTTTGAATGCATGTAGTAGCTCTATCAGATAAATATTATATTTTCCTCACTATTCCACCTCACTAGATTAGATGTAGGTACTTCCAGTGCAACTTACACGTTTGAAGATTATTCTTCAAACGTTAAATATTATTATTTATATCTACACGTATGTCACTAACGCCTGGTGACTTAAAACCAGAATAGGAAGCAACCTATTATTTATTCTTAGTTCCACAGTGCTCAAGAAGTACCGTCAGAAATCCGTTTTATAATATCTAGGCTGCCCGTCAAGTATGGAAATTAGAAAAAAATAGTCGTGTCATGCAGCTCTAGAGCTTGATTTTCTAAAAGATTGTAGCTGGGAGACAATGATGCTAATTTAGGATTTATTCGGGCGCGGCCGTCGAGTTACTGGGATTTCAAGATTTGGAGATACCATGAAAACACGATGGAGGAGAGTACAGTTTTTAAAAAACATGCAACGTGTCGGGTATTGTTTTAGTTTTATTTCCTACGAGTTTCTGATAATGAAGGAATCCTATTCTCTCGCATGACATGGTGGTAGTGGCCGTAAGAACATGTAAATGAGAGCCATGTAATAGGTACATTATTTCAGAATTATTGTCAAATTTTCCTCTTCAGAAAGTTTTCATGAACCTGAATAACCTATATGGAAAAGCTTGTGAGAGCGTACCCATAAATGGTATCTTCTTGGATCGATGGTACACACATTCAGAATAGGTGTCAGTAATATGTATGTTACTGATGACAGGACCGGCTGGCTGGAGTGAATCTAGGTTGTGTGTGAACGTGCAAGTATTAAAACCTTTTGATTATGAAATAAATTTCTGTAGACTTTCAAACTCATATTATTCATATATAATGTAATAAACAGTAAATCTATTCATGTTTTACTGGTGAGAAATTCCAATGTTAAGACTTGAGCAATGGGAATTGGCAATGTTCCGAGGCGAGGCTAGGCGCGCACCGGTGCGGAGGTTGTAAAAGCACCGTTATACTTATTTACCGTGCGCATCTTGCTTTAGGCGCTGCTTTAGCTTATTTAAAATATATACGAGACGGATGCATATGCAGTGAGCACGTTACACCACTCATGGCTGCTTTGTAATGCAGCACACGTTATGGATTACCTGCGTTACCTAGTTACGTTAATACTAATGACGTGTCTAATTAAAAGGGCAGTTTGTAGATTTCCTTATAAACGCAATTTTCATGTGAACTCTAAAATATTTTATGAATCATAACAACAACTTGCAGGGTTAATTACCGGATAATGATTACCTAGATAATTCAGGTTATTAATTTCATAACAGGACATAGGTAGGCTACTACCTTATTAGTAGGGAGGTATGCATACTGTATACTATTAAAAATTGTAAATAAATTTCGTTCTTAAAAAGGGTACCTTAACGTATTTATAACGTTTAATGTGATGCTTGTTGAGGTAGGTTGAAGATCAGGTACCTCTATGTATGTATCTATGTGTGGTCACATTTTCTACAGCTAAGTGTGTGGGTAGGCACCTGTCTAGGTATTCGGTAGGTACTATTGTATTACTATCTTTTATGAATGAGAACACGAGTATTTACTTGATTAGAATCGGATAATTCCTGGCTTAGATGCAATACACTCATATCACACCTGCACGTAAGACTTAAAGAGAGATAAATTTATATGAAAAGATAAATTTGTTATTGTACGTTTATCTGTTGAGTACCCATAAATAGTAGACACCTACCCAAATGCTGTATTTTGATTATTGCTTCACAAGCAAAATGTGGCTACTACGGTAAAGCTCAACGTTTTCAAACTAACCACACGCTGCTTTTATTTATTGACATGACATACATCAAAATCAAATAAATAGACAGTTGAATCGTATATTACTATTTTATGTAAACACATTCAACATATTTTATGTTTTATTGGTGGTCTTATAGTATTTCCATTGACGGGACACAGGCAACAATTTCGAGGGCTAAAAGTCCATGGGTATTAAATGTCATTATTTTTATAGGTATCGACATAAAAAATAAGTAATGATATAATAAATTCTCGCCCATTTGTGTTTATTAATGTGGCCCTGTGCGTGTCGCATGAGTTTTTCGTTCTAGGCCGAGTCGGTCCTCACTGTGATTTCATTATTTAATGACTAATGATCAAACACTTAATTAGGTTAAATAGCTAAAGAACACTCCTAGATTCTAACTTATAGGCTATAAACCTATTAGCTAAGCTACGTACCTAAATCAAAGACGCTTGTGTTTCTTATAGTGTTCGGAGAACTGTTTTTGTGCAAATTATCTAAGATTTTTTTGTTAAAGTATCTACAACATAAATAAACCGCATCGGTATACCTACCTACTGCGTATCTTCTCCATTTTAAATGGGATTGCAGTTCTAATAAATATCAATACACTGTTAATTCTAGAAAACCTATACGATGACGCATTTGTTAAAAAAACTGCAATCACGATTAACACATTAAGTAGCCATATTTGATAATGAATAATACAGGTATTATTATGATAAGTAATATGCAGGTACCTATGCTATGTGTGCTTGTAAGTATTTGTATTTAATAGTATGTATTTGTATGTAATGTAAACTAATATACCTATATACTCGAGCGTATGGCGCGTATGTGTTCCGCGCGCGCCCCAAAGAGCCATGATGCCGATACGGAGCCGCGGAGAACGGCTAAAAACGGCTAAAAAAACGGCCTAACGGGTAACTGGATTTCCGGCTCGAAATGCATGAGTAGGAACGGGGTGGTTTTTAGCCAGTAGGAGTCTGACACCTCCCGCCTCACCCAGGCGGGAGAAGTCATTCGATGATTTTCCCCCCGTAAAAATCTACCTATATTGGTACACATATAAATTAAATAATAAATAATTATAAAAACTAAAGTATATTTTATGACTAAAATTACCACGAGGAATATACCTATAGAAAAAAATACTAATGTTATCAAGAATATTTTTTTTATGAACAAACCGTATCGTTTTGTGAAAAATGTATTATAATTTCCTTAGAACACTTTTAGTATCTAGCAACCTACTTACCTATTAGTATGCATATTATGTTAACAAAATAATTAAGTACGTATTATGATAAACATATTAACGTACGATATGATATAGATTAGACAACTAAAAGCAAGACTAGGTATCGATAAAGACGGAAATA